ATTTATTTATTTATTTATTTGATTAGCTTACAGGATAGAATCTTGCTGCACCACACTGGAGAGGCTGAGAATCTGGTAGTCACTCAGTCTGTGAGGCTGGATGTCTCAGCAGTCTAAGTCTGGTGCTGAAGGCCTGAAGTGTTTCTGGAGGTCTGCTAGTCTTCAGTCTACACTGAAATCCAAAGAAGTTGGTTCTATCATCAGTGAAGGAATGCTACAGCAGCAAGATGAATTCACCAGTGAGAGAGAAGGAAGTGGCAAAAAGCAAAAGCCCCTTTCTGCCATGGCCTTTTGTATGGGCTGCCATCAGAAGGTAACACTTGCATTTAAGGTGGGTCTTCCGGTTTCAAATGATCCAATCAAGAAAGTTTCTTTATTTCAGTTAATTCCAGATCCAGTCAAGTTGACAACCAAGATTAACTATCACACCCTCCTACATCAATTAACAATCAAGAAAATACCCTACAGACATGACCACAGGACAGTCTGATGAAGGAAATTCCTCAGTTGAGGATTCCTCTTCCTTAGTCATGCTAATTGTGTTGAGTGATTTTTTTTTTCTTTGAGAGACCTGAACAAACATTTATTCACTCTTTCCCCTCCAGATAGGGCACTGACTACAGAACAAAGAAACAAGTCTACCCAAATATGGCTTGGTGAACTAGTGAATTCATTGGGGTCACTTACAGGAACGTGGGTGACTCAGGCAGCTGCATCACTGATTAGCTAACCCTGGCAAGAGTGACTACTCACATAATTTGCATGATTGGTGTTCCCTGCACAACTCGTAGGCAGCTCCACCACAGTCTCTTCTCCCCTAGCAGTTTCTTTCTGTTATATCTCCGTAGAGAGGGACCTTATTTTTTTTATTTTTATTTTATGTGTATGAGTGTATTGCCTGCATGTAGGTAAGTGCACCCGTTTTGTGCAATGCCCGTGGAGGTCAGAAGAGGCTGTCGGATCCCCTGGGACTGGAGTTACAGACAGTTGTTAGCTGCCATGTGGGTGCTGGGATAGGAACCCAGGGCTTCTGCAAGAACAACCAGTGTTCTTAACCGCTGAGCCATCTCTCCAGCCCTGAGAGGGACCTTATTGTAAGTTTCTTAGTTTGTTCTTGTGAGCCTCTCTGTTGTAGAACATGGTCTTCTGAGCAAAACAGCTGCCGTCTTTATCAGATTAGCCCTGTCTGCTTGCAAGAGACCATCATGATATTCAGATTTACTAAGCCGCATTATAGTTTTATCTGAATAAAGAAACATCTGTCTTTTAGCATTCATTTTAAAGCCAAGAATGTACTGGAACTCTGAGCACCCATTTCTTCAGATATCTCACAGAACTGTACTCCAGCCAGGCTTCACACATTCTTTTATTGAAACAGCTTCTTCAGAATGAATTGGGGAAGTAGAAGCTGGGATCTACCTTAATCTTATCAGAGAATCTTGCCCTTTGATTCCTAGGCCTAGAATATCACACATAACAATTTCAGAAAGACTTCTCAACTTTTCTCACTGTTTTCAATGAGAATGCTGTTTTCAGCACTTTGATATATTAATCATGCACATCCACATCCATTCACTATCTTGGGTGGAGGGCAAGGCAGAGTCCTGAGGGATTAAGGTCAGGTGTCCAGGTCACAAGTGGAGCCCATGGCTGACTGAGCTGGTTTACGTAACATAAATAGCAACTTTTTGGTTGCGAGGTTAGGTAAAAGTCTTTAGGGAAGATTATGGCCATGTTGTAAAAAGTCATTCCTACAATGATGGGTCTGTTGACTGTTGGCATTCAATCAGAGGATGAGGGGGTGGGGAGGGCCATGGGTCCTTCACCTTGGAGTCCAGTTGTTTTTCTGACTCTTTTGTATGTGTCCCTAGAGGTGTTAGAGTGTATAGACTGAGGGAGGTTAATTGAGGGAGGCTCCATCCACATATGCAGCTTTGGGGAATCCATCACCCATACTGTATGAAGACTCCAGTGTGGCTGCTTTGGGGTCCCATACACTCCTGTCTGTAGCTCTTCACCATGACTTATAAATAAGCTCAATGCACTTATTAGCTCCCTGGGGTGAGCTGTGGTGGAATTCAACTTTGGTTTGTCATTGGAAATTTATGAAGAAGGGATAGATGTTGGTTATGTCTCCCCAGGAAAGGAATTCTTGCAACATTCTCTTCTAAGGGGAAATGTTTCAATTAAGAGGAAATAGCCATACAACTCTAGGTTAGGTCTGTGAGACTTCCACGTGCGGATATTGGAATTGGCCTTGAAGCCACGCATGAACATGCATGCCTGTAATCACTGCACTAGAGGCATGAGGATTGGAAGTGTGAGGCTAGCCTATGTTATGGAGGGAGACGTCATAAACAAACAAACAGATGGACAGACAGACAAACAATCAGATAAAGAACTGGCATTGGATGTGCAAATCCTGTGCTCAGGGAAGCAGTTCATGCCAAACATATAAACTTGGGAGTTAGTTATTAAGATACATGGTATTGGGGGCTGGAGGGATGGCTCAGTGGTTAAGAGCACTGGCTGCTCTTGCAGAGGACCTGGGTTCGGTTCCCAGCACCCACACGGCAGCTCACAACCCTCTGTAACTCCAGTTCCAGGGAATCTGATGCCTTTTTCTAGCTTCTGTGGGCATTGCATGACAAAGGGGCACTTACATGCAGGCAAAACACACATACATATAAAATAAAAATAAATTTTAAAAAATTTATAGATACGTGGTATTTGCATTTTTCACTCCACTCATTTTTGTGTGTGCTTGCATGCATTCACAGCACGTGTGTAGAAGTGAGAGGATAAATTGGGGAAGTCAGTGCTCTGCTTCTACCATGTGGGTCCTGGGGATCAAACTCATATTTTCAGGCTTAGCAACAAATTCCTTAACTTGCTGAGCCATCTTACCAGCCCGGATGTGTAATTTAAAGCCATTAGGGGTAGAGGTATAGCTCAGTGGAAAAACTGCCTAGTATGTATGAGACCCAAAGTTTAATTGCCAGTACTGTGTAATATAAATACATAAATAAATAAGTAAATAAGAATCTCGATGGCCTTTTGAAAGTTCTTAGGTTAGCCATCTCTCTTTGCTTTTTTAAAAAAAATTTTTGGTTCTGGAGATGGACCTTGTTCATAGTAGGCAAGCACTGTACCTTTGACTCACGCCCCAGCCCCTCAGTGGGAGAGTCTAGGCAAGTGCTCTACCTCTGAGCCACAACCCCAGCACCTCACTGGGGGATTCTAGGCAGGTGCTCTACCACTGAGCCACACCCCAGCCCCTCACTGGGGGATTCTAACAGGTGATTTACTGATGAGTGTCAACAGCTGCCTTGGGTCAACAGACCCATATGGGCAGTGGGTTTCCCACATTAGTGTCCCATTTACCACTGGGCCTGGAGTGAGTTTAAAACATGAAAACCCACAAAGGCAGCTGGGGAGATGGCTCAGTTGTTAAAGTGCTTGTTGTACAAACATAAGATCTGAGTTTGATCCCCAGAACTGAAGTAAAAAGCAAAAAAGGGGGGCTTGGTGGTATGTACTTCTAATCTCAGCTCTGGGGAGGCAGAAGCAAGATTTCTGGGGCTTGTTGGCTAGCCTGCTTGATGAGTTCCAAGCCAGTGAGAGACCCTGTCTCAAAAGAAAGGTGAGGGAAAAAAGAAAAGAGAGGGATGGAGAGATGGCTCAGCAATAAGAGCACTGGCAGCTCTTGAATAGGACTTGGGTTTGGTTCCCAGCACTCACATGATGGCTAACAACCATCATGTGACAACTGGCTAACTCCAGTTCCAGGGGATCCCTATGCCCTCTTCTGGCCTCTGAAAGAATTGCATAGGTACACTTACATACATGCAGGCAAAACACTTATACATATAAAAAATATATACAATAAACAAAAAAGGAGGATGGCACCTAAGAAGTGACAGTGTTGTCCTCTGGCCTTTACACACATGCACACACACGTGCATGTGTACCCAAACACACACATGAACACACAAACACACAAAACCACAAGGAAGCCCAAGACAATTTCCTTTAAAAGGTTTTCATTTATTAGTCTTTTTTTTTTTCTGAAGCAGTTAATTCTTTTCTTTCATTTTTAAAAATGTGTGTTTCATTCAGAGTTATATCAAAGCGATTAAAATGAATTTTCTCCTGAGGATACAGTTCCCCAGATTAGAAATTTTTTTTCAATTAATCACAAAAATAAAACCCAAAGAGCACACCAACAATCAAACATCATCCCCAAATATCCAGGACAAAAAATAAAATATTTATTGATCTATCACAGCGAGACACAAAGAGGTGGGCAGGGTCAGGGAGTGAGACGTGTTCTGTAATAAGTGGCTCCAGGGAGGGACAGGGGATACAGTACTGCATGTGGGGAGGAGAGTCCTGCCCCAGCCCCCACAACCTCTTGCACCCCGGACCAACATTGGGGGTGTGTGGTGGGGGTGGGAGCAGGGTACAGGCTGCCATGACGGGTGAATCAGGTTGATGGTGGGTATACCCTGCCAGCTAATGGTACAGGCAGTCAGCTGGGAATCAGGACAGACGGATGGATGAACGGATGCCCAGGTGGATTCCACAAGAACAAGGAAGCTATTCCCAGTGTAGGGGAAGACTTATGATTCCAAGATGCCCCTGATGTGGGGGACAGCTATTGGTAAAGGAAGGGACCCTAAGGGAGAGGGACCCTGTGACCGAATCCAGCATCAAGGCTTCCGGTACTTGGGTACCAACGGAACACAGCCACGGATGGCTCCTGGTGGGCAGGGGGAGGTGTGACTGCCCATCAAACATGTGCACCATCTTAAGAGAGGGGCTCCAGAAAATGGGGGTCCCCATGAGCTGCCCTTCCCTCCTCCCTCCCCCCAGGAGGAAGAAGCACCAACGTGTAGCACCGATTTCCCTTGGAGATGGAGACTGTGTTTGGGGTGGGGGGAGCTCCTGGGTGGGAAGGGATGGGGCACCCGCCTTGGCCTTTGATATGGGGGGTCTTTCCGGTTAGGGGGTACGTGGCTGCTGCTGTTTCATTTCCTTGTCTTGTGGGTTTCCAAGGCAGCTGGCTTGCCGTCCCCTTCCGGATGGGGGTCAGGGGAATGGAGTCCGGGGTGGGAGTGGGGGTGGTCATAGAAGGTTTACATTCTCCATGAAGCAGTAGCACCAACTTTGATGAGGTCGCAAGTCAGGGGTCCCCAGAAGATCACTTTCTCTTCCGGCCACAAGATTTCCCGAAGCAGCCCGCACCTGGGTCAGAAAGGGTGTATTTTGTTGTTCAAGTGCTGCCTGTTCTGTTTGCCCCCATCCCTGACTTAGAGAAACCAAGAGAAGCATTTCTTTCCCCTTTACTTTCTTTCTTGTCTCCCTCCCTCCCTCCCTCCTTTCTTTCCCTTCTCTCTGTCCCTTTCTCTTTCCTTTCCTATATTAAAATTTTTTTTGTATTTATTTTTATTTTATGTATATAAGTGTTTTGCCTGCATGTATATAAATGTACCACATGTGTGCAATACACACAGAGGCTAGAAGGTGTCAAATCCCCTGGAAATGGAGTTTCAGACAGTCGTTAGCTGCCACATGGGTGATGGGTACCAAATCCAGGTCCTCTGCAGGAGTAGCCAGCATTCTTAAACACCGAGCCATCTCTCCAGCTCGCTCTCTCTCTCTCTTTGAGGCAGGGTCTCATGTAGCTCAAGCTGGCCTCACACTATGCAGCTATGGATGACCTTGAACTCCTGATCCTTCTGCCTGTACTTCCTGAGTGCTGGGATTACAGGTATGCACCACCGTGCCTGGTTTATGCAATCCTGGGAATGTAACCCAGGGCTTTGTGATACTTGGCAACCAAATTATATCTCAGCCTCATCTTTTCTTTTCTTTTTTTCTGTATGGGAGGAGGGTGTTGTTGGGATAGTCTCACTTAGAAGCCCAGCCTGGCCTTGAACTCACACTTCTCCCGCTTCAGGTTTCTGAGTGCCAGAAGTACAGGCAGGCGGCCCTGTTTGACAAACTTGCTTTTAGGGATAGCCTGGGGTAGGAGGCAACACAGTCTGGTAGTTTCTGTTAATTTAACAGGAACTAGGTGTGGATTGTTAGTGCCACCTGGTGGCAGCAAGCAAGCTATTGGGAAAGACCTATCCCTGAAGCCCATCCAGGAAGTCCTTCCCACTTCCTGTCTCTCCTGGCTCCTCCATGCAGATAAGGGTCACCAACAAGGCTGTTCAGGCCTTGCTGGGGTGAGCACTGAGGCGCTTGGACCTGCTCTCAGCTCTGAATATGTGCATTAGAGGTGCTTCCCCTCTGATTTTAACTCTTCCTCCTCACCTTGGTATCCCAGGGCTCCAAGGGCTCCTCCATAGGACTTTGGGGGTTTTCCTGTGGGGGAATGGAGGATGAGCAGATAATAAAGTTTGGGGAGGGGGCTGGGCTCCCTTGTCTCTCCCAGCATCTTTGTGTGTTTGCTCTGCCTTGTCTTTGTAGGTTCCTAAGACCTCCCTGCCCAACAGCTCCCCAACCCTGCCCAGCCATACCCTTCTCCCTCACAGCCAATCTCCGTAGTACTGGAGAGGGAACCTGGGCCAAGTGAGTCCTAGGCAGGTGTTCTACCACTGGGCTACGCCCTCAGCCCTTCTAGGTAGGTGTTCCACCACTGAGCCACACCCCCAGCCCTCACTGGGGGATTCTAGGCAGGTGTTCTACCACTGACCCACACCCCAGCCCCTCACTGGGGGATTCTAGGCAGGTGTTCTACCACTGACCCACACCCCAGCCCCTCACTGGGGGATTCTAGGCAGGTGCTCTATCACTGACCCACACCCCAGCCCCTCACTGGGGGATTCTAGGCAGGTGATCTACCACTGACCCACACCCCAGCCCCTCACTGGGGGATTCTAGGCAGGTGTTCTACCACTGAGTCACATCCCAGCCCCTCACTGGTGAGTCTAGGCAGGTGCTCTACCACTGAGTTACATCCTCAGCCCTTTAAAGAGAGGTTTTAAAAAACTTTGAGACAGAATCTTGCTAAGTTGCTCAGGCTGTCTGGAACTCTCTCGGTAGTCCAGGTTGGCCTTGAACTTTTTATCCTCTTGCCTCCCCACAGCTGAGATTCCAGGCCTGCACTACCATTCCTAGATTATGAGATGCCTTTTTATTGCAGACTCACCACCAACTCCCAGGCCTCCAGCTCCACCACCTACAAAGGGAGGAGAAGGGCTGTCAGTGCACCTATTTCTGGGAACCCACCAAACCATCCCTGTTTGGATCGGGACGTGTTGTGAGAAGGGTCAGGTCTTGGGTTTGGGTAGCTCTGTCTCTGCTCACTGTGTGACTGTGGAGCATTGCCTAGAAGTCTCTGAACCTCAGTGTGCCTGAGGTGGGGCATGGTGGGGAAGCCATTTACCCCCAGGGACCCTGAGAGAGGTGAAAGGCGTTTTAGAAAAGCTGATGTAATATCTCTTCTACTTAGACAGGAAGGTGCCAGAAGGAGGGGAGGGCCTTATGTTAGTCTTATCTTGGGGTCTACCCAGAATTAGCTTAGCTCTTCAGAGCAGATGGGGGCAGAGCTCAGAACAACCCCCCCTCCCCTCCAGGGAAGGGGCCAGGGCACTTAGGCATACCTGGGTAAATTGGAGACAGTCCAAAGCCAGGTCTGTCCGCCACTCCTGCACGAGAGATTTGGGGTTGGTGGTGGGTGGCAGCAGGCCTTTGTTACCCAGCCTCACTGCCTGGGACCACCTCCTTTCCACCACTTCTGTTCTACCTCAGCCACATTCTTTGTGTGTGTGCAGTGTATGTGTGTGTACATGTGTGCATTTGTGTGTGTACACATTTATGTATGGGGGGCTAGAGGTTGACATCAGCTGTCTTCCTTAATTGCTGTCCACATTATTATTTATTATTATTATTATTATTTTGATTTTTAGACAGGATCTCCCTATAGCCCCAGCTGGCCTGGAACTTGCTCTGGAGTCTAGGCTGGACTTGATCTCACAAAAATCCACCTGCTTCTGCCTTCTCAGTGCTGGGATTAAAGGTGTATGCCACCATGCCTGACTTTTTTTTTTTTTTTTTGAGATAGGGTCTCCTTGTTAGCCCTGGCTGGCTTGGAACTCACTATGTAGAGCAGCTTGGCCTTGAACTCACAGAGATCCACCTGCCTCTGCCTTCTCAGTGCTGGGATTAAAGGCATGTGCCACCATACCCAGTGGTGCCTGACTTTTTTTATTTTAGAAATTTATTTTTATTTTATATGTATGAATGTTTTGCCTGCCTGGATATAAGTGCACCTGTGTATGCAATGCCCACAGAGACCAGAAGAGGGCGTTGGATTCCATGAAACTGGAGTTACAGATGGTTGTTAGTTGCCTTGTGGGTGTTGGGAATTGAACTGAGGTCCTCTGCAAGAGCAGTCAGTGCTCTTAACTGCTGAGCAATCTTTCCAGCCCCTATTTTATTTTCATTTTAAAACTATTTTGTGATTTTTATTTTATTTTATGTGTCTGAGTATATTGAGTATATATTGCATGCATGTATGTAAGTGCACCCATGTCATGCAGGTCATAAGAGGGGGTTGGATCCCCTGGAACTAGAGTTAGGGACAGTTGTTAGCCACCATGTGGGTGTGGGAACTGAATCTGGGTCCTCTGAAAGAGCAGCCAGTGCTCTTAACCGCTGAGCCATATTTCCAGCCTCTATTTTATTTTTAAATTATGTGTCTGTGTGTATCTGTATGTGGGTATGTGTGCATAAATGTAGTACCCTCACAGGCCAGAACAGGTTGTCAGATCTCCTGGAACTGGAGTTACAGGTGGTTGTGAGCCACTCAGTGTGGATTCTGGGAACTGTATTCAGATTCTCTAGAAAAGTAGCAAGTGTTCTTAACTGCTGAGCCATCTCTCCAGCCCTCTACCTTATTTTTTGAGGCAGGGTCTCACTGAACCTAGTTTACTGATTTGGTAGCATTTGCTGGGCCAACAAACTCCAGGGATTCTCCTGTCTCTGCCTCTCCATCTTGGGCTTTTTATATGGCTACTGGAGATTGAACTCAAGTTCTCAAGCTTTCCCAGCAAGTGCTTTACCCACTGAGCCATCACCCCAGCACCGGTCACTTTCTTAACTTGTTCCCACCTCACAACCCCAAGTGGTGTCCTGTGGCTTTTGCTCTGAGCTTGGCCAGTGCTATCCATGACTGAGGGGACACTTCCTCTGTCCAAGCTGTCATCTGTCCTAGAGTGACTTGTCTACCCCCACCCTTGGGTCTTCATGTGGACATGGAGTCAAGGAGCTCTGCCATAGCCAGAGAGGTACCCCTAGACCTGGGTGGAGCTGAGGACCCTACAGAGCTGGGCATACCTCCACCTAGGAATGGCCTGGCAGCTCCTAGGACACCTCCTAGACCAGCAGCACCTGAAGAGAGGATAGAAGGGAGGTCAGGACAAGATGCAAGGCTGGTAGTGCTGACATGCTGGGTAAGACCTTCTGGGGTATTGTGAGCCTGGTGGGTGTGGGTAACGGGGATGGGGGTGGGAGAGGGCATGGGGGATACTCACCATACTTGGCTGCTTTAGCAGCTGCAGCTGGGGACACACCTGGAGGGAAGGGACACAGGAGGGCTCAGGAAGGCCATCTCCATCCTGCACTCAGGACCTGTCAGCACCTGCCCCTGACTTGTCCTCTCTCATCCCACCATCCCTCCTCCTTCACCCAGCCATCCATCCAATAGCTTTGTGTGTGTATGTGTGTGTGTGTGTGTGTGTGTGTGTGTGTGTATGTGTGTGTGTGTGTGTATGTATGAATGCATGTGTGTGGTGCTGGGAATGGAACCCAGGGTCTAATGCTAGGTAACTACTCTACCACTGATCCATGCCCCCAACCCCTCACTGGAGTTCTAGGCAGGTGCTCTACTACTGAGTCACACCACCAGCCCCTTGTGGGGGATTCTAGGCAAGTACTCTGTCACTGAGCCATGCCCCCATTCCCTCACTGGAGGATTCTAGGCAGGTGCTCTATCACTGAGTCATGCCCCCAGTCCTTCACTGGCAAATTTTAGGCAAGTACTCTTCCACTAAGCTAACTCCCTAGACCTCCAGTAGTCTTTATTAAGCTCCTACTGTATACCAAGTCTTGGGAGAGCATAATAGTTAGTTTGTGTAGGTGACCCAGTGGCAGAGAGAAGAAAGAGGAGGAAGGAACACGTCTACTATAATGGCACAGACTCTGGTCAAGTAATTTTTCTCCAGTCTGATTTTCTTGTTTGGAAATGGATCTGACCATCATTATGCTAATGAGCTCTCACTTATAGTAGTTGGTGGGTTGAAAGAAAGAATATAAGATTTAGTACCTCCATGTCAAGGGACAGCCCCAGCTCCTGCCTGCCTAAACCTACTGCCCCTTTGCTTTGAGACAGAGTCTCATGTAGCTCAGGCTGACCTTAAACTTGCTATGTAGGCCAAGCTAGCCTCCAACTCATGATCTTCCTGCCTCAGTCTCCTGGGTGTTGGGATGATAGATGTGTGTCTTCAATCTTTGCTTCCTTCTGTCTCTTTTACACACAGCACACACACACACACACACACACACACACACACACACACACACACACACACCTCTCACTAACTCACTGATTCCTTACCTCCAAGACCCGTAGCACCAGGGATCACTCCAGCCCCGAGGCCTCCAGCTCCCAGTCCACCCACACCAACTCCACCTGTGGAGAGAGCCATGCACTCTGTTGGCGAGGTCTCCCTGAGCTCCCAGGACCCTTCCATGGCACCAAGTGGCCAGGAGGTGGTCTGGGCCATGGGGGCTCAGGGACAGGTGGGGAAGGCGGAGCTCTTCCTCACCATATTGAGCAGCTTTGGCAGCAGCTTTGGCAGCAGCTTTGGCAGCAGCAGGTGCAGCTCCTAAGGACACAAGGGACTCAAGGAGGGCTTGCTTGGCAATCACAGTCTCCATTCCCGTCCAGCCCACACTGGAATGCCAACATACCTGCGACACCACCAGGAACACCAACTCCGCCAAGACCCCCAGGCACTCCGAGGCCACCAGCACCTGCAGCGCCCGTGGAGAGAAGACAGGGTCAGCCCACATTTTTTGGTTTGTTTTTGTCACTTGTAGCTCAGGCTGGCATTGGACTCCTTCTATAGCCCAGGATAAATGACCTTACTCCTGATTCTCTGCTCCTACCACTGCTGGGATTATAGGTATGTACCACTATGCTTGGATTTCATTTTTCCTTTTATTCTATCTAAGTTCCTGAGGCTGGCTGCCCTCAAACTCATGATCTATCTGTGTCAGCCTCCTGAGTACCAAGATGACAGGACTTGCTACCATGCCTGCCTTCAGTCTCTTGTTTCTGAAAAATGTGCCTGTACCCCAGGGACACAAGGCAGACATACAACAGAGGCCTGTGGGAGTCTAGATAGGTGTTCTACCACCAAGTCATACTTCCAACCCCTTACTGGGGGATTCTAGGCAGGTGCTCTACCACTGAGCCACACCCCCAGTGCCTCACTGGGGGATTCTAGGCAGGTGCTCTACCACTGAGCCACACCCCCAGTGCCTCACTGGGGGATTCTAGGCAGGTGCTCTACCACTGAACTATATGCCAAAAGCCCCTTACTGGGGGACTCTGGGCAGGGGCTGTACCCCTGAACCATACCTCCAGCTCCTTACTGGGGACTCTAGGCAGGGTCTCTACCACTGAGCTATATTTTTATCCCTTTTTAATTTGTTCTTTGAGATAGCCTCTTGCTATATCTCCCAGACTAGCTTTGAACTTGGGTTCATTCTTCCCCAGCCTCCCAAATACTGGGCTGACAGGTGTGAGCCACTATACCCAGCTGTCATCCCATTTTGGACATGCAAAGGCTAAGGCAAAGGAGAGGTTAAGCAATACCATGTCTGAGACGGGGCCACTGCTTTTCCCTGACAATGTCTGTTGACTCAGGCTATGAGCAGCCAGCAAGGAACAAGAGGCTGTGGGTGATCAGGGGATGTGCGCGCGCGTGTGTGTGTGTGTGTGTGTGTGTGTGTGTGTGTGTGTGTGTGTGTGTTGGAAGCAAGGAATGGGATTTTTCCAAGGTGGAAACTGGCCCCAAAGAGATGGACTGTGGCCAGTTGGTGCATCCCTGGCAGATGCCTCCTGCCTAGCCCTTTAGAGGCCAGGAATGTGGAGGCCATAGACAGTGTGGGTCTGACCAGAGTGCCAAGTGGCAAGGCAGGTGGGTCTGCCACGTCCTCCAGGCTGGCGGGTGTTGGGTGAAATCACACTGACAGGAAGGGAGGGAGTAGGCTTGGGGAGGCCTGGACAAGGAAAACTGACGACTCCTTGGCTCAGCCAAAGGGAGAAGAGGCTGAAGCTGCCCAGCCTTCTGGTACCAACAGAGCTGGAGAAGCTGTTAGGGTCATAGGGGACTTTGGTTGTCTTCAAAGGGGGGCTGGAAATGTGACAATTGTGTAGTTGGCGAGACAGAGTTTTTCCATAGCCAGTTGACCTTGAATGCTCTGTGTAGCCAAGGATGACCTTGAACTTCTGATCCTGCCTCTACCTCCAGAGAGCTGGGATTACATGTGTGTACCTCCATGTCTGGTTTATGTGGTGTAGGGAATGGAAGCAGGGCTTCATCCATGCTAGGCGAGCATTCTACCAACTGGGCTACATGCCTAGTCCAGTTTAGTTTTTTTGTTTGTTTGTTTGTTTTGTTGTTTTTTTTTATTTTGAGTAAGGATCTCTCTGTAGCCCTAGCTGGCCAGGAACTCACTATGCAGTTCAGACTGGGCTTAATCTCACGAGATCCACCTGACTCTGTCTCCCGAGTGCTGGGATTAAAGGCGTGTGCCACCATGCCTGGCCTCAGTTTGGTTTTTTTGAGTCATGGTCTCATGTAGCCCAGGCTGGCCTTGAACTTGCAATGTATCCAAGGATGACCTTAAACTTCTGACCCCCTTGCCTCTACCTTCCAAGTGCTAGGATTATAGGCATGTACCATGAAGCCTGGCCCCACAGATGTTTTTGACTGTTACAGGGGTTTGACGTACTACAGGCAGGTAGTACTCAGGTTTGAGTAGGCAGGTGCCAGGTCTGTGACTGTCATTCAGATGTCCCCCAAATGGCCTTTCTCTCTCTTGAGCATCTCTGCCCAATGCTGTCGAGGCCTTGAACTTGCAATGTATCCAAGGATGACCTTAAACTTCTGACCCCCTTGCCTCTACCTTCCAAGTGCTAGGATTATAGGCATGTACCATGAAGCCTGGCCCCACAGATGTTTTTGACTGTTACAGGGGTTTGACGTACTACAGGCAGGTAGTACTCAGGTTTGAGTAGGCAGGTGCCAGGTCTGTGACTGTCATTCAGATGTCCCCCAAATGGCCTTTCTCTCTCTTAAGCATCTCTGCCCAATGCTGTCGAGGCTGTCAGGGTGGCAAGGTGACCAGGTGGTGTCGAGCCCGTACTTACCATATTTAGCTGCTTTTGCTGCTGCCAGGGATCCGGGTACTATGGAAAAGGGAAAGAGAAAAATAGCACCTGGGCTTTGTGCCTCTTCCAGAAGCCCACCCCGACTTTCTTCACCTATATCATATTTAAAAAAATATTTTATTTATTATTTTTATTTTATGTGTATGAGTGTTATGCCTGCATGTAGGTAAGTGCACCTGTGTCATGTAATGCCCTCGGAGGACAGAAGAGGCTGTTGGATCCCCTGGAACTGGAGTTACGGACAGTTGTTAGCTGCCATGTGGGTGCTGGGATTCGAACCCAGGTCTTCTGCAAGAACAGTCAGTGTTCTTTAACCACTGAGCCATCTCTCCAGCCCCTATATCATATTTTTAAAGCCCTGAACCCCTGTGGTATCCCAGCCAAGTGGTCCCACCAGGAGGTATACGGCTCCAGCATCTAACCTAATGACATATTTGTCTAAGGACATAATATGAATGTATAATATAAATGTCTAATGACATTTCCCATCTTGTCTGAGACTCTGAGAGGACTGACCTATGTCTTTTGTTTTTATCGGCCTGCTTCTGTATACCCTCCCCACTTTCCCCAGATCCAGTGTGGCCTGCTGGACTCTGGGAACAGATAACCACATAATGAGGAACTGGAGTTCCTAGTGGACTCCTTGTTCTAGAGCATTGTGGAAGGAGAGCAGGGCTGGCCTGGAAGGAGAGATTTCCACCTTCTTTCCCCTGGATAGAAGATAAGGCTTTTGGATAGTGTGATGATCTGTCATATATCCCTCTGAACACAACAACAACAACAATAACAACAAAATTCACAGCCTGCAGTCATTTGTTTGGCTAGTCACTCCCCACCTGTACTGGAGATGGAACCCAGGGCTTCCTGCATGCTAGGTAAGTGCTCTTTCACTGAGCTACTCCAAAACCCCTCACTGGGGAATTCTAGGCAAGTGCTCTACCGCTGAACCATACTTCTAACCCTTCTCTGGGAGATTCTAACCAAGTGTTCTACCACTGAGCCACACCCCAGCCCCTCACTGGGGGATTCTAGGCAGGTGCTCTACCACTGAGCCACACCCCAGCCCCTCACTGGGGGATTCTAGGCAGGTGCTCTACCACTGAGCCACACCCCAGCCCCTCACTGGGGGATTCTAGGCAGGTGCTCTACTACTGAACCACATCACCAATCCTTGTTTTTTGTCTTTTGTTTGGTTTTGAGATAGGGTCTCACTAAGTTGTCCCTTCTGGTCTTGAGTTCTCTCTATAGTGCAATCTGTCCTTCAACTTGCAAATCTTATGCCCCAATCTCCTGAGTAGGTGAGGATGAGCCTGTACCACCACACTGGTACTTATTTGTTGGTTTTTTGTTGTTGTTTTTGAGACAAGGTCTCACTGTGTAGCCATAGCTGGCTTAGAACTTGCTATGTAGAGCAGGATGGTCTTGAACTCACAGAGATTTGCCTGCCTCTGCCTCCTGAGTACTGAAAGCATGTACCACCACCACTCCTGGCCTCATCTGCTTTTGATGCTAAGGAAAATCTAATGAGACTGTATCATGCACTAGGTAGGGAGGTGATCCTTGGAGGAGGGGATGCCTCTTCCGTCTGAGCTCAGGGGCACTTTATCCATAACTCCTAGATGACTCCTTACCTGCTCCAGCCCCAAATCCAGGGACACCAGCTCCAACTCCATATCCAGGGACACCGGCACCAACCCCAAATCCAGGAACACCAGCCCCAAGGCCGGCAGCGGCTCCTGCAGAGAGTTGGGAGGGGTGGTGACAGTGGGTAGGGATGCACCTCTGCAGGAGGTGTCCTGTCTCAAGAGTTGTCAGCCCCAGGGGAATGGGTCCCAATGGGAGCAGTAGCCTTGTCCCCAGCCTTGTCCTTGTCTGCAGACTGCCCTCAGAGTCCATTTTTTATAGTCCATTGGAAGGGGCTTCCGAAGATTCCCACAGACCACAGGGCCGAGCCTTGTCAGGGTAAAGGTAAAGGTTTCATACTGAAGACCCCACTCCCTTTCCTACCTCACTTCCTGCTTTTCCTACTTGGATGAACTATTTGTCCCCTAAATACTGGGACCTTGTATATACTAGGTAGGTGTTCTGCCATTGTGCCATGCCCCTAGTCCTTCACTGAGGATTCTAGGCAGGTGTTTTACCACTGAGCCACACCCCAAGCCCCTCACTGGGGGATTCTAGGCAGGTGCTCTAACACTGAGCCATGCCCTCAGTCCTTCAGTAGGACATTTTAGGTAGGTGTTCTGCTGCTGAACTATAGTCACAGCCTCTCACTAGGGGATTCTAGGCAAGGGCTCTAACCACCTAGCTAACCTTTAGTCCTTAGTATTTTAAGATAGAGTCTCACTATGCAGTTCAGGCTGGCCTTGAGTCTTTATCACCTTCTCTTTTGAGTGCTGCGATTATGGACCTGAACTACCACACTCAGCTTTCCCTCCCTCTCTCCAGGATCTCATGTAGTACAGGCTGCTCATGAAATCACTATGTAGCCAAGAATGACCTTGAACTTCTGGTCCTCTTGCCTCTACCTCATGAGTGTTGAGATTACAGACATGTGCTACCATGCTTGGTCTACACAGTGCTGGGGATGGAACCCAGGACTTCCTGCATGCTAGACAATCACTCTACCAACTGAGCTGTATGTCCAGTCTGAACCTGTTTATTCTCTAACAACCTTCTGCATGTATTTGTGCCACTAACTCCCACACTTGACACATGAGGTAAAGGAATCTCAGAAATCACTCAGCTATCTTGGAATACAAGACTTGACCCTAGTCTCCTCTCTTGTTGAATCTGTGCCTCGGAGCCGTCTTCTTGTTGTCATGGAGACCTAAAGATACCGAGGCTAAGTAGCCCAGACAGATGGGTGGGGACAGGAGGGAGAGATGATGGTATATACTCACGGTACTGGGCTTTAGCAGCTGCCTTAGCAGCCGATTTGGCTGCAGCTGGTGTCCCTGCTCCTGAAGAGAGAAGAAAAGGGTTCAGGATGATACCCATGGAGGTGCCGGGAACTTCCAGGCCCACCCATCCATGTTGTCACCTATAATCCCACCAGGAACAATGCCGGTAGCAGGATCAACTCCAATACCAGGAACAATACCACCAGGGACAACTCCACCAGGAACCTGGCCAACACCAGGACCCAGCCCTACAAGACAAGCCATAACCAGTTGTTAACCCAGGCCCAAGCAACAGAGGGCAGAAGCCAATGACAAGAGCCCTGAGCTGACAATCAGGAGCTGGGGATTTAATTCTAGCCCTGACAAAGACTTTCTGCGTGACTTTGGAGCCAGTTATTGTCTCTTGCTGGGGCCATCCTTGCTACTCCATAATCAGAGTCAAATGCAAATTCATCAGTTTGTCACCTTTCAAGGGAAAAGGAGATCTTGGAGACTTACTTGGTCAAGGATGGTGAGGACAAGAGGTATGTAGTAGGTCCCACCACCCCCGGGGTACTGAAGAATGAACCTCAGGCCTTTCACATGCAAGCCAAGTGCTCTAACACTGAACCACACCTCCAGCCCTTCACTAGGGCATTCTAGACAAGTGCTCTACCATCAAGCCACTCCACCAGCCCCTTACTGGGGGATTCTAGGCAAGGGCTATACCATTAAGCCACAGCCCTAGCCCCTCACTAGGGGATTCTAGGCAGGCATTGTATCATTGAGCCATGTCCTCAGTCCCTCAGTGGCAGATTGTAGGCATCCCTAAAGGGGATCAGGTAAATCAAAAGGTGCTAGAAAAGCCCACATTCAGAGTTGGGGATGTAGCTTAGTTGGTAGAGTGCCTGCCTAACATGCTGGGTTCCATTCCCACCACTGTGCTTTATAAACTGGGTATGGTTGTGCACACCTGTAATCCCAGCTCTTGGGACATAGATGCAGGAGGAACAGAAGCTCAAGGTTATCCTTCACTCTTCAGCAGGAGATATGAGAGGACCATGGTCTGGGGCCAAGGGTCAGGTGCAGTTGGGGACCACTTACCATACTGGCCTGCTTTGGCAGCTGCTTTGGCAGCTGCAGCTGCTGCTGCAGCTGCTGGAGTCCCTGCTCCTAGATGAATAAAGATCACAGAAGGAGATGGTTCCCAGCACTCCTCCCCAGTGTGACCCATCCTTTCCAGAATTTCCTGTGGGCATGTGTCCCTTTCTGGATACCATGGCCTCATACTGGAGCCAGGGAAGGAAGCTAATGGTGGGTGACCTGTGCTCTTGACATGGTACTGAAGATGTACTCTGGCACCTGGGCATGCCCCTGCCTTGGACTTCAGTGCTGAGCTGAGAGGCAGCTCAGTGGGATTCCAGTCCCACTGCTCTGGAGGCAGGGGACTGGGAAGGGACTGATAATTCTCTAGAAAATCTGGACTAAAAGATTTGTGAGATTTCCCTTGTGCTGGATAGCTTTATGTCAACTTGACACACCTGGTTTAAGGGAGCCTCAATTGGGGAATTGCCTCCATTGAACTGGACAGATATGGCCTGTAGCCATGTCTGTGGGGCATCTCCTAGATTGTTGTGTGATGTGGGAGGGCCCAGCCCATTGTGGGTGGTGCCACCCCTGGGCAGGTGGGCTTATGTTGTATAAGAAAGCAGGCTGAGCTAAGGCCAGGGGAGCAAGCCAGTAAGCAGCATTCCTCCATGGCCTGTGCTCCAGCTCCTGCCTCCAGGTTCCTGCCCCGAGTTCCTATCTTGGGCTCCCTGATGAACTGTGACCTGGGAGATATAAGCTGAATAAAGCCTTTCCTCCCCAAGTTAGTAGTGGTTAAAGTGTTTTGTTACAGCAATGGAGAAACAAACTAGAACATCCCTGTAAGGATACTCTTACATAAAAAAATTCCTAGTAGTACCTGTATCCAAAGCTGTTGTGTGTATGTGTGTGCAATATGCATGCATGGGTGCATGTGAGTAGGTCTGAGATTGGCATCCATTGTCTTCCTCAACCACTCTTCATCTTAGATATTGAGGAAGGGTCTTTTGCTGAATCCAGAAAGTACCATTGTGGATAGTTCAACTTGTCAGCTTGCTCCAAGGATTCTGTCTCTGCCTCCCACAATCTGGGATGACAAGGAGGTCACCACACCTACCTGACTTTTGAAATTAAAAAAATTTATATTATTTTTATTTTATGTGTATGTATATGAGTATTTTGTCTGCATCTATATAAGTGTACCTGTGTCATGCAATGCCCACAGAAACCAGAAGAGAGCATCAGACCCCCTGGAACTGGAGTTACAGATGGTTGTTAGCCACCATCTGGGTGCTGGAAACTGAACCCAGGTCCTCTGCAAGAGCAGTCAGTGTTCTTAACCACTGAGTCATCTCTCCAACTCCTACCCACCTGACTTTGAAAAATTAATTTCATTGTGTGTGTGTGCGCGTGTGTGTGTGTACGTGTGTGTGTATGTGTGTGTATACAAGCATGAGTATGCCACAGCATGCACGTGGAGGTCAGATGACAATCTTGGGAATTGGTTCTCTCCTGCCACCTTGTGGGATCTGGGGATTGAACTCAGGTCCTCAGGCCCATGTATAAGTGTTTCCACTGCTGGCTCCACCCAATTTCTATGTGAGTTCTGGGGACCTGAACTCTGGTCCTCACACTTGCAAGGCAAGTGCTTTACCTGCTCAGTCATCTCCCTACCTCTCTCTGTCTCTCTGTCTTCCTTTGTGCCTGCCTCTCTCTGTGTCTCTGTCTCTGTATCTCTCTCTCTCCTCTCTCCTCTTCTCTTTGTACTGTTTTTCCTCTCTCTCTCTCTCTCTCTCTCTCTCTCTCTCTCTCTCTCTCTCTCTCTCTCTCTGCAGTACAGGGGATGGAACCCAGGTTCTTTACACACTAGGCGATCACTCTACTGAGCCACATTCCCAGCCTTGGCTCCTTTCTGGAGGAAACACAGAAGAGCATTTTTCTCCCAGAAAGTTTTTCTTTGGCAAGGGGGAAAAAGGCACAACAGAAAAGGGCATCCCTGAATGTCAAGGTACCTCTGATTGATGACTAGTAAAGGAGAAAGAACCCAAGGTCACCCAAAAGTGAGGGGTCCTCTGTTGGTAAGGAACTAGAAAGGCCCCAGGGGTATAAGCCAGACCACCCAACTCTAGGTGACTCAGGAATTTGCCAGAGTTGGCTGAATCTCCCAGGGCAGGGAGGTTCTTGTCAGGTATCAGCCACCAGGTACCTATGGAGAGCTCTTGCCCTCATCACTGCTTCAGGGGAAACTGCCCCTCTTCCCCATCTCTGGGATCATCTGTAAAGTGATGCCAGTTCCCAGGGTTCCTTCTATGAGACAACCTGAACCCATCTCAGTGTGGGAAGCACAGCTTACCTGGCACTCCTCCAGTGCCTGGCACACCTGGAATTGCTCCGGGTACTACACCTGGCACCAGGCCTCCCAGGGCTCCAGCTCCTGGAGGAGAAAAGAATACCCAGTGCCCATCTCACCCATCCATCCAATCATCCATCCATATAATCATCCACCCACCCATCCATCCATCCAATTATCCATCCATCCATCTGTCCATCTGTCTGTCCGTCCATTCATGGCTGGATGGATACATAAATAGGTTTTCCTCTTTTTCCTGGAGGTCTAAGTGTGAGGTTGTTTTGTCCTCACTCAGAGCCTTGGGTCCCATAGGAGAGAAGGGCAGAAAGACAGACAGACAAGGCCACTTACCATACTTGGCAGCTTTGGCAGCAGCGGCTGCTTGGCCCGCAGCTGCAAGGAAAAGAGAGAGAGGGTGGGCACATAGGCAAAAGGGTTAAAAGGAGGATGGGAGGATGAATGTGGAGGTGGGAAGACAGGTCATCAGACAAGAAGGGGGCTAGGTAAATTGTTAGAAAGATGGATGGGTAGATGGGTAGGTGGGTGGGTGGATGAATGGATGAGCAGATAGATAAATGGACAGATGGATAGATGGGTGGATATATGAATAGGGAATGGATGAATGCATGGATGTGTGGATGGATGAGATGATTAGCTGCATGGATAAATAGATGGATGGGTAGATAAATGGATGGATGATAGATTGATGGATAGATGGATAGATGGGTGGTTGCTGGGTGCTGGGAATGAATCATGCATTTAGCACCAGTGCCTGGGAAACGGAGGCAGATGGATCTCTGAGAGTTCAAGGTCTGCCTGGTCTATATAGTGAGTTCCAGGACAGCCAGGGCTACACAGTGAGCTTAGTGAGATGCCATCTCAACAAACAAACAAACAAACAGACAGACAAACAAACACAAACAAAACAAACCAATGGATTGATGAATAGATGGATGGGTAAGTGGAGAGATGTATAGATGAAGAGATGGATGGGTGGACAGACAGATAAATGGAGACATGTAGAGATGAACAGATAAATGGATGGACAAATGGATGACTGGTCCACCAGGCAGGATCACAGTTCTCTCCCACCTTCAAAGGCACTGAAGACTGTCTCCCTCTTCCTTAGCACACTGAAGCCCACTTCCACTCTCCAACTCCCTACATGACCTGACAGAAGAGAAGCCCCACTCCCTCAGCTTCCCAGAGATGCTACTAAGGCTCACGGGTAAGACCAGCTCCAGGGACACCTCCAACTCCAGCTCCAGGGACACCTCCAACTCCAGCTCCAACACCATAGCCAGGAAAGCCCCCAGCACCAACTCCATAAGTTGGAATGCCTCCAACACCAACTCCAGCTCTGGCTCCTTGTGGAGGAGAGAAAAACCAATGGGAAAAGACTACAGTGAGGGAGGCTGGGAGTGCTCTGGAAGATACTTGTTGACTGTGAGGAAGGATGCATACTTCCCTTAAGGCTGGCCCATGAGGACAGGAAACTGGTATGCCTGGGGTCCCTGACCAGCCTCCTCCATAAAGCTTGAGTCTTCCCTGACTGTTCTTTTTCTCTGGGAAGTATTAGGGAGAAGTGTGTGGGATTATCCCAATCAGGTTTGGTGCCTTTTGAAAGGACCTTGACCAAGGGCAGGGAAAGGCAAGAATACTGGCTAGACTAGAGAAGCCATCCTGGGATGGTTCTGTCACTCATCCCTATGGTGAGAGACAACTAGATAAACATAATCTATCCTGGGATCCAATGGGTCCAAATCACAGCTCTGCCAGGGATTTGCTCTGTGTTCCCGGGCAAGTTGCTCTCCTCTGAGCAAAGAGATGAAAGTCTTTTAACTCTGGTAAGTGGAGGCCAGAAGAGCACTCACCATATTTGGCAGCTTTGGCTGCTGCTTTAGCAGCTGCAGCTGGTGACACAGCCCCTGGGGAGATCATGGGAGACAATGCTCAGGAGCAAATGGGGGAGAAGTGGTCGTTGCGTATCCCTCTGTCCACCCATCTGTCTGTTGATCCATCTTCTTTTTTATCTGTCGAGCTGATATAGTTGTTCACTCTGTCCCATCTTTGTGTCTGTCCATTGTCTGTCTGTCCTTGGATTTCAATCCACTCACCTAATCTCTCCACTCATGCACTAATCAGCTTAGCTGCACACCTGCCCATCTATCTATTCAGCCATATACATCGAATTTGCCTGTCACATTCCACCCAATCATTTATTGATCTGTCCATCCATCCATGGATCTATCCATTATCTATCCATCCATTCATCAATCCATCTGTCTATCCACCTATGCACCCATCTATCCATTGATCCACTGATCCATCAATCCATTGATCCATCCATCCATCCATCCATCCATCCATCCAAAAATTTATGTAGCCCTCAAACTGCATGTCTATCTTTCCATCCACTCATTGATCCTCACACCCACCTTTGACCCCTCCTTCTATGTAGCCATGTATCCACCCATTCTTTTAACTGTTCAGCCATCCACTCATGACCTCATTCATCAATTTAACATTCATCCACATGGCCCCTTCTCTGGCTACCCTGTTATCCATTTACCCATTCATCCACCTACCCATCTGCCTTCCATTTAGTGAGCACCTAGTCAGCTAAGGGATGGGAGCATAGAACTTAAAGTCATGGTTCCTGCTTTGGTGGCAGACTGTTAATCAGGAAGGAAGGTGAAGATGCTACTGCTGGTGGAAGCTAGTTGGGAGATTGTTACAGCTCAGAAGGAAGGGGATGAGGCTAGGCAAGAGTATGAACAGATAAGTGAGGTCTTATGGAACACCCAGAATCTTGGCACTACATTGCTTTCTTACACACACACACACACACACACACACACACACACATACACACACACACATACACACACATACACACACAGAACAAGTTTGGCTTACCTGGTCCACCCACAATGCCTGGGCCTGCAACACCTGGGACTCCAACACCTGGGAGCCCACCAACACCTGGGAGCCCACCAACACCTGGGATCCCAACACCTGGGACTCTAACTCCTGGTCCACCAGGCACTAAGCCTCCAGGAGCTCCTGTGGAAAGAAGAGGATTGGTGTAGCCTGAGTCCTGTGGGGACCTCTATGGGTCTTCCAGGGTAGGTGTGCAGGACAGCTCAGGGGGCCACAGTCACTCTTGAGTACAGGATAAAACAGATAGGTTGGTGATGCCTCTACAAGGATCTAACTCACCAGGAAGCTGGGAAGGGACTAAGAGAGCTTCAAAGAACCACTTGTTTGGATATGTGACTGGGAAGAACACCATCTATTTCTAAAGCAAAATCAGAATGCCTGCTAGTGTTTTTATGATTTATTTATTTGTTGTTGTATATTTTGTTTTTACAGCTCTGGGGATGGAAACCAGGGCCTTGGACTAGTACTCTATCATCGAGCCACATCCTAGCCCCTCACTGAGGATCCTAGTCAGGAGCTCTACCACTAAGCCACATCCTCAGCCCCTCACTAGGGGATTCTAGATAGGTACATCCCCTACAGAGTCAATCCTTGTAGAACCTGAGCTGCCTCCCAGGTACAATGACTAAGGATGGGCAAAGGTCTCCCTTTGGCGAAGGTCAGGAATGTCCTTAGGCAGTCAGAGGTAAAGTCTGTCCCTCCTTGTGGGTCTCCAGTGCTGGTGCAGAGCCCCAGCCCTGCTACCTCTGGGGCACTCACCGTACTTGGCAGCCTTTGCTGCTGCTGCTGCTGCTGCTGCTGCTGCTGCTGCTGCTGCGGGAGTCCCAGGCCCTGGAAAGACAGGCACGGAAGGTGAGGTGCTGTCTCTGTGGTCTTCTCAAGGACACTTCTACACCCAGCTGGACATGGCATTACCTGCAATGCCTCCAATTCCAGGAACTGCACCTGCGCCACCAGGAATGCCGCCTCCTCCAACACCAGGGAGGACCCCAGCTCCTCCAGCACCTGTTAGGACAGGGATAGCACCATATGACTTCCCATGTCTCCCCAGGTTGTGTGTGTGTGTGTGTGTGTGTGTGTGTGCACTTGCACATGTATACATGCCTCGGGAAGTCAGCCACCTTTTCGTCTTTTTCCATTTTTCAGGTATGTGTGTACATGTTGTCTGTGTGTGTATGCATGTTTTGCATGTGTGGGTGCATATGCACGTGAATGTACATGAATGTGGAGTCCCGAGGTTGATGTCCAGGACCATCCTCCATTGCTCATTGAGTCAGAGTTTCTCAATCAAATCCAGAGTTCACTGATATGGCTAGTCTCACTAGGCAGCTTGCTCTGGGGACCCTCTTTCTCTGCCTTCAAGGGCTGCAACTATAGGTGGGCTGCCATGGCTGCATTTAGGTAGGTTTCTGGGGATCCAAAGTCTGGTCCTCATGATTATAAAGCAAGCACTTTAACTGCTGAGCCATCTCCCCAGCCCCTGATTTCTTGTTACTGTTGTTTTAAAAGATTTATTTTTAAATTTTATTTATTGCTTTTATTTTTATTTTATGTGTATGAATGTATTGCCTGCATATGTGTAAGTGTACCCGTATTGTGCAATGCACGTGGAGGTCAGAAGAAGGTGTTGGATTTCCTGGAACTGGAGTTACAGGTTGTTACGGAGTTACAGGAGTTACGGTTGTTAGTTGCCATGTGGGTGCTGGGAATCAAACCCAGGTCCTCTGCAAGAACAGCCAGTACTCTTAACTGCTGAGTCATCTCTCCAGCCCCCAAAGATTAAATTTTCTTGTATGTATACAAGTGTTTGCCTGCATGTGTGGAAGTGTACCACATATGTGCCTCATGCCTGCTGAGTCCAGAAAGAGGCATCACATTCCCTGGAATTGGAGTTATGGATGGTTGTGAGCTAGCATGTGGTGCTAGGGACTGAACCCAGGTCCTCTGCAAGAGCAACAAACGCTCTTAACTACTGAGCCATCTCTCCAGCCCCCTCCATACACCTTGTTTTATTTTATTTATTTATTTTTTTTGGTCCTTTTGACACAGGGTCACCCTGTAGACCCAGCTGGCCTGGAGCTCACTATGTAGACCAGGGTGGCCTTGAACTCACAGGGATCTGCCTGCCTCTGCCTCCTGAGTGCAGTGATTAAAGGCGTGTGCCACCATGCCCAGCCACCCCACCCTGTTTTATGAGACAAAATCTCTTGCTTGTTTGGCTGGACCGGCCAGTAAGTACCAGATGTCCACTTCTCTACTCCCCAGTGCTGGAATTACAAGTACGTGCCGCCATGCTTGACTTTTTAACATGGATTCTGGGGGCTGGAACCCAGGACGTCATGCTTGTGTGACAAGCAGTTAATCAACTGAGTCATTTCCCCAGCTCCCCTCACTCCTTGATTTTTTTGTGAGACAGGGTTTCGCTAGGTAGTCCAGGCTGGCCTTGAACTCTCCATCATACCATCCCAGCCTCCGAGTGATGGGATTACAGGCCTGTGCCAACATGCCCCACTGAAATTCTGGCATTTTATCTATCATCCTTTCACTGGGGAACAAGTCTCAGTATCTCCAGATGGGCTTATTTGGGAAGGTCCCTACCCCAGAGTTCGTGGGTTTGCCTCCAAAGTGTCCATTTCAACAAGCTCATTAAGGGAGTCGGATGTTCGCAGACAAATCCCTTTCTAATCACTCCTACATACTGAGAAACCACAAGCTCCATTCCCTGGGCCAAAGGGGCCCCCAAAGGAATGCTGAAGGCTTCCTTTCCCTGTGTTCCGAAGACTTAGCCAAGTTGGTAATGCAAGCTCCTGGCAGCCTGACTCTGGCAGCCCCTTGCTCCTGGCTCTGCAGCTCCTATATTTCAGCTATCCCCACCAGTCTGCCAAGGAGCTTCTACCCCTGGAGGGAGACCTAGGGGCCTCCACAGGGCAGGCTCAGTTCCTCCTCTAACTCCTGCCCCTGAGCTGATAGGGTCTTCTGTCCTCTCCAGACCTGGGAACAGGAAAGCCTCCTGGGTTGGGGAAGGAGGAGAGGACTTTGTGTTTCCTGGGGTAGAAGGTAGGTGTTCACTCCATCTACCACATGGACACAGAGGCCTCACCACATTTACATGAAGGCTGTCCAAGGGGCCTTGGGTTTGGGAGGGGTTACGTTTTTGTAATATACAGGAAATTGATGCATAACAATTTTTAATAAAAAATGCTTGTGAAGTTGTCACCTACATTTTTCTTTCTAACCACGATGGTATGTATCCACTTTTTCTCCTCAGGCCCCTCCTTCCTGTTTTTGTTTTGTTTGGGGAAGGATCTCATGTAGCCTAGTCTGGCCTCACACTTGCTATGTAGCAGAGGATGGTCTTGAACTCCTGACCCTCTTGTCACCACCTCCCAAGTCTGAACTATCACACATAGCATCCCTTTTGACTCCACAGGACAAACTGTATCTTGAAGGACTTGTCACCTTCTCTGGGGAGACTCTTTGATTTTCCCTAGGAAGAAATAATGACTCCCAGGGCTGAGTATACATCCTCTGAGATGGATGGGTGGGGAAAGGGATGGAGAGATGGGCAAGGATAGGAGGCATAGATGGAAGATGGAGAGATGGATAGAAAGAGATAGGTAGGTGAGTGGGTGGATGGATAGGGAGGGATGGATGGATGGAGGGAGGGATGGGTGCATGCATGTATGGTTTGGGGGAGATGGATGTGGGAAGGTGGGGTAGGTAGAGTAGATGGCTGAATAGGGGATAGAAGCATAGAAGGGATGGGGGATAATAGGTGGATGGAGATAATGGGTGGATGGATGGATGGAAAGAGGGATGATGGATAGAAGAACAAATAGGGAGGGCAGAGATATAGAGGGATGGATAGATGAAAGGATGTATGGAAAGATGAATGTGTGGAGGAAAGGAGTGATAGAGGGATGGATGGCTAGGGGATATATAGATAGAGTAAGGGGGAGAGAAATGGAGGGATGTGTGAATGGATGTTTGGAAGGAAGGATGGATAGATGGATAAGGGATGGATGAAGGGAAGGAAAGAGGGAGAGATGGGTGGATGGATGGAGGAATGAATGGATGAGTGGAGGGAGAACTAGGAGAGAGAGGGAGGTGAGGCGAGTGAGTGGGAGAGGGGAGGAGTGATAGAGGGATGCAGGAATGGATGGATGGATAAGTGATGGATGGAGGATAGGAGGGAGAGATGGAGGGCTGTGTGGATTGATAGATGAATGTTTGGAAGGAGATATGGATAGATGGATAGGGAATGGAGAGAGGGAAAGATGAAGGGATGGAATGAAGGACAATGATGGAGGGAGGAAAGAGGAGGGAGAGTGGTATGGAGAGATAAATGGAGGGAAAGGATGAAGAGAGAGATGAAGGGGTGGGGAGGAATGATAGAGTGATGGTTGGATGGATAGGTATGGATGAATAGAGGAAAGGAGGAAGAGATGGGTGGATGGAAGGAAGGACAGAGGGAAGGACAGATGGAGAGCTACACATGTGGATTGTGTTGAAAAGGGGCAAAAGTGTGAAGCATAGAAATCACCTGGTCGGCTATCTAATCACCACAGGATGTGGAGGTTGGGGGGCTGCAGGCTGGCAAGGGGCCCAGAGATACTCACCATACTTAGCTGCTTTAGCTGCTGCAGCTGCTGCCTGAGAACCGACCCCTGGGGGAGGGGAGGAAAGGGGAGACTGACCATGGTGCTGGTGTCCTTGCATCTCCCAAGCACCATGTTCCCAGCCCCAGAGACACCCAGAAACAGCTGGCAGAGGCCAAACAGTGGTCACAACCCAGACTGGGGTCTAGGTTCAGACCAGGGTCTGCATGTAGGGTAGAGAGGCCTGTGTTTCAGAAAGGCCCTAGAGCCAGGGCGATCAGCTTCCCCTTTGACTGGAAGCAGGCAAGATGTTTTCCTGCTTACCTGTCCCTGTTGGATAGCCAGCTTTTCCCCCTGCACCAGCCACTCCTGTGAAACAGAGAGGTTTGCTGGTCATTATACAGATCTCCAGTTTCTGCTCTCCTGTTTACTCATCCCAAGTCTCTCTGTCACCTCCAACCAAAGTGCACAACCATTTTGGGAATGGCATTCCCATTTTACCGACAGGGACACAGACTCAGAGAAGAAAAAAAAATGGCTCACCCAAGGCCTGATAAGTAAGAGGGCCAGGACTGAATGGCAGGCCAGATTCCTAGGGCCATTCTTTCTCCTTTAGGGACATTATAGCACTCTGCCCCTCCCTCAGCCCAGCTGAGTGCTCTCCTGGCCCATGGCTAGGGTCTTAGCACCCTTACCAGGCCCCCAGAGTTTGAAAGAGCTATAACCCCACAAATACATGAGTGCTTACTTACCATAGGGCAATTTCCCATTGGTGTAGGGCAGTCCATAGCCACCTACGGAAAGGACAGGGGATGGATGGAGGGAAGGAATGGTATATGGATGGATAGTTAGTGGAGGAACAGGTGTGGAGAAAAGGGATGGGCAGGTTAGATGGATGGATAGGAGGTGGATAGAGAGAGGAAGGGATGAAGGGATAGGTGTAAGGATAAATGGTTAAGAGAGATAGATATGGGAAGGAAGGGATGGGTAGGGTACATGGATAGATAGGGGATGGATAGGGGTAGAGGGATGGTAGAGGATAGATGGAGGGAAAGAAGGAGGGGCAGAGGGATGGGTCAATGAATGGATGGGGGGTGGATTATAATGCAGAAAGAGAAATGTGAAATGAGGGAGAGATGAGGTGACGACAGATAGAGGTGAGGGAGAGATGGAGAAGAAAGGGTGGAAGGAGTCATGGATGAATGGAGAGGAGAGATGTGGGTGGAGGGAAGGAGTGGTGGATGGATGGAGAGGAGGGGAAGATAGGTGGCTTTCTGGTCTATCTCCTTGTATGGACAGACCTTCAGAATGGAGACATCAACTTGAGGGTCCCCAGTTGCTGACAGAGACTCTGAAGCAGTGCAGGGAGAGAATGCCCACTTCTCTGCAAACCAGGTCCCCCCATGGCTCCTGGGGTCTGAGTGCCTACCTTGTGTGCATGCTTTCCAGGGGGAGTGTGCCACTCCTTCAGCTAACGGCTGAGGTAGGGGTGACAGTGTGGGTGGCTAGACATGGTAGGGGTCTTTCTAGTGCATGGTGGTTGTGTCCTCCCTTTCCTTTTTCTTCCTTCCTTTTTTCTTGAGACAGGGTCTCACTCTGTAGCCCATGCTGGCTTCCACCTTACTGTGCAATTCTGTGTAACCAGACTGTTTTTGAACACACACAATCCTTCTGTCTCAGCTTCTTGAGTGCTGGGATTACAGGCCTGTGCTACCATGCCCAATTCTTTGTATGTGTTTGCATGCATATTCATGTGTGTATGTGTGGGGGTGAGTGCACGTGGAAGCCAGAGGATAACCTTGGGTGTCATTCCTCAGGCTCTTTATACCTTGTGGCTAGATTGACAGGCCAGTGAACCTCAGGGATCTGTCTGTCTCTGCTTCCCCAGAGCTGGGATTCTTAGCACATCTACCACATACACGGCTTCTGGGGAATCAAACTCGTTCTCATCACGTGGCAAACTCTTTACCAACTGAACTATCTCCCTAGCCCCATAAGTGGTGGTTCTTACTAGCAATACAATGAAACCAAGCAAATCCCTATAAGGCTAATTGCCCAGCCAGAGACCCAGCAAACCATGACATTTTATTATTATTATTATTATTATTATTATTATTATTATCACCATTATTATTATTGCGTGTGAATATATGTGTGCATGTTCGCCTGTGAACATGGGTGTGTGTATGCCACAGTGTGCAAGTGGAGGTCAGAGGACAACCTCAGGTGTCAGTCCTCCCCTTCCACCTTGTTTGAGGAAGGGTCCTTCTGTTCCTTGCCACTGTGTACATCAGAATAGCTGGCCCATGAGGCTCCAGGGATTCTCCTGTCTCTGCCTTCCATGTCACCATAGGAGTCACTGGGATTGCAGATGCTTGCTACTGCATCTAGCGTTACATGGGTTCAGGTTTCACACTTGTGTGGTAAGTGCTTTACCCACTGAAGCATCTCTCTTTGGATGCCTCCCTCTAACTTACCTGGCAGCTTGGGTGCTTTGATGGGGTAACCAAGAGGGACACCAGGCTGCTGGCCCCCAAAGGGTCCAACCCCTGTGAGAACAAAGTAAAGTCCCAGGTTTTGATGTGGCGTCTTCTTCTTAATCCCCCACCTGACAGTCTCTGTTGAGATGGAGTGAATTTTCTCCCCATGGATCCTACACTATCTTGTCTGGGGGTCCTCCCTGTCCCTTTGTCATGGGTCAGCGGAGCACTCCTCAGTGAGAGGCCACTTCCTCTTAGGACCTAAGGGACACTGTGCTGTATCTGGTGACTGTAGCTCTTCTAGACCTTAGTGTACTGTCGGCTTTCTGGGCTCATTTTGGCTCTACATTGATAAGGTCTGGGGTGGGGAATATGGCCTGTGACTGATGATATGTGCAGAAGCTAGTTCAAGCCCTGGAGCAGGAGGCATGAGGGGCATCAGACAGGTGTAAATGAGGTTCTGGGCATCCAGCTTCTGCTAGGGTGGGAGGGTCTGAGTGTGCTCCCATTTGTCCACCTTTGGAGAACAGCCTCAACTCACCTGGGATTCCAGCAAAAGCACCACCTGCACCTGTAAGGCAAAGAGCTGTTACTGTGGCCCAACGCCAAGTGTACACAGCACAGGCACTGGCTCTGGGCTTCTGTTGTTCGTGTGAGGCAGGTGCTATACACCTGAGCCACACCCTCAGTCCTTCACTGGGGGATTCTAGGCAGGTTCTCTACAAACTGAACCACACCCAAGCCTCTCACTGACTATTCTAAGCAAGTGCTCTACCACTTGACCCTTGACCCTTAGGCCTTGACCCTGAGGCCCTCACTAGAGGATTCTAGAAAAATACTTTATCACTAAGCAACTCTCACAGCTTGTCACTGGGGGATTCTAAGAAAGTCCTCTACCACTGAGCCAGGCCTCCCCACCTCAGCTCTCTTTTTATTTTTGATTTTAAGACAGTGTCTCATTAAATTGTCTAGGCCTGCGTTGAACTCTGTAGACCTTGAAGTTTAAAAAAAATTTTTTATTTTATGTGTATGAATGTTTTGCCTGCATGTGTGTAAGTGCACCATGTGCATGCAATGGTGTCAGAAGAGGGTGTCAGATCCCCTGGAGTTACAGATGGTTGTTAGCTGCCATATGGATGCTGGGAACCAAGCCCAGGATCTCTTCAAGAGAAGCCAGGGATCTTAACTGCTGAGCCAGCTCTCTAGTCCCAAAGTCTTGAACTTTTGATCCTCCTGCCTCAGCCTTCTGAGAAGCTGGGATAACAGGCCTATGTCATCAGACCTGCCTAACTCTCTTGGGCTTTTTGAACAGCATACTGCCCTTTCTGAACAGCAGAAACAGGGCTGAAGCATAAGGTGTGTCCCCCTCTCCCCACTGAGGTCACTGAATGAGCCTAGGGTCAAGAAGGTGGACAGTTCCACCCTGGGTACCCAGTACAGGTGGCCATACATACCTGGGGCCTTGGGCTTGACTCCTGTGCCAGTGGGAACTCCAGGAAGCACCCCAACACCAGGGAACCGAGTTCCTGAGTGGTAAGGCCAAGGATGACAGTAAGGGAAGCTCTGTTTGCCACCCCCTTCCCACCTCACGTCTCCCAACAAATGTATTTTATTATTGATGGTCAGACATAAGCAGGGCTCACAGGCCAGGTTGGGAAAGAACCAGTTTCCTGGGAACCTTCTTCCTCTGTATGGTTCAAGTTCAGGTGTTCTGAATTAAATTTTTTATTTTTTTTTTAGTGGTGCTGTGGATTGAATCCAGGGCTTCACACATGCTAGGCAGGTGCTCTACTACTGAGCCACACCTCCAGCCCCTCACTGGGGGATTCTAGGCAGGAGCTCTACCACTGAGCCACCCCCCACCCCCTCCCTGGGGGATTCTAGGCAGGAGCTCTACCACTGAGCCACATCCTAGCCCCTCACTGGGGGATTCTAGGCAGGTGCTCTACCACTGAGCCACATCCTAGCCCCTCACTGGGGGAATCCTAGGCAGGTGCTCTACCACTGAGCCACACCCTCAGCCCCTCACTGGGGATTCTAGGCAGGTGCTCTACCACTGAGCCCTCTCCTAGCCCCTCACTGGGGGAATCCTAGGCAGGTGCTCTACCACTGAGCCATACCCTCAGCCCCTCACTAGGGGATTCTAGGAAAATTCTTTACTGCTAAACTACTTCTCCAGCCCTCTTCTTACTTTTTGAGACAGTCTGGCTAAGTAATCTAGGCTCGACTTGAACTTTTGATTCAGCTGCCTCAACCTTCTGAGAAGCTGGGGTGACAGGCCTGTGCCACCAGGTTGGGCTGGAGGATATGAGATTTCATCTCAACACAGCTGGTACCTTGGTGGACCTCACCTATGTTATAGCTAAACATATCATGTCCACATTTAGGAGAGAAGTCCCAGAGGTCTATCACCATACCACCCTGAACACGTCTGATCTTGTCTGATCTCAGAAACTAAGCAGGGATGGATCTGGTTAATACTTGGATGGGAGAAAGCATAGAGAGGTGCAGCCAGGGTGATGTGCCTCATAGAGCAGCTCTTTCTCTATGAACTGGAAACTTCCAGGATCTCCCTTCTCCCTACCTCCCTGGGGCTTGGCTGCCTCACTCAGCAGGGAAGTGGAGAGGTGGAGGGCAGAGTTCCGTCAGCAAATCCCTGAATCTGGGCTTTTGGGGGATTTCAGGAGGCCATTTTGGGTGGGGGTGGCATGTCCTGGCAGGGGAAGGAGGTGAGGGGCAGCTTTTAGGGGTCTCCTGCAGGGCAGACTCCCTGGGCGTGCCTGTCCCTGGTGACTCAGGGCTTTTGGGAAATTGTTGGCTGCACTGGGGACTCCATCTGTCCTCTGAGAGTAGGCTTTAGGCTGTGATGAGGGTGTTGGCCTGGGGTCAGGGATTGGGTGGGGCTGGGGGAAGTTGACCTTCATTGCCAAGGACCTAATAATGTCCATTAAGTTGAGCTTGGACACTTAGGGAAGCAGGCCCTGGCCTCAGCTGGCCTCGGGAGGAGGAGGGAAAGGAGAGTGTACCAGTGCAAAGATCTCCCTCCCAATTTATCTTTTTTTAAAAGTTAAAAAAACTTTATGTGTTTATGTGTGAGTGTTTTGCCCGCATGTATGTAAATGCACCAAGTGTGTGCAATGACCACTGACACCAGAAGAGGGTGTCAGATCCTCTGGAATTAGAGTTACAATGGTTGTTAGTCATCATATGGGTGCTAGGACCTGAACTCAGGTCCTCTGTAAGAACAGTCAGTACTTTTAACTACTGAGCTGTCTCTCCAGCAACATGCCCCGCCCCCCGCCCCCTGTTAAGACCGTGTCTCATGTAGCCCAGGCTGGCCTCAAACTGGCTATGTAACCAAGGACATTCCTGAACTCCTGATCCTTCTGTCTCTATCTCTCTATTACTGAGATACAAGCATGCATCATTCCACCCAGTTCATAAGGTGCTGGAGATGGAGCCCAGGGCTTCATGCATCTTAGGTGAGTACTCTAACCACTAAGTCATATACCCAACCCACTCTTATTTTTTGAGACAGAGTCTCACTATGTAGGGCAGGTTGGCCTCAAACTTGAGATGCTTATGCCTTAGCCTCTCAAATGCTGGAATTACAGACACGCATTAGGCCTGGTTTGTGTAGTGCTGGGGGTGAAACCCAGGGTTTCATACATGCCAGGCAAGCACTGAGCTAAGTCCACAACTCCACCCTTTTGGTCCTCACCTGTGCCTGGAAGCACTCCGCCTGGGTAGACCCCTGGAAGGCCCACACCTGGAGCAAAAATACAAAGAACCATGAGCAGAGACTCTGTCATGAAGATCGCCCAGCAGCTCCAGGGGTTTTGGACTTGCAGCCAGTGTGCCCACGAGGGTAGGCAGGGACAGCAACCCTCTTCCCTCCTCCCTCCTGCTTGGGGATGGTCCCAAGACCCTTGCCTGCATGGGTTTTTCTGTTTTCTGGATCCTGGAGCCTGCTTATGCTGCCCAGCCCACCTCAGTCTAAAGACTTCCAGATGTTCTCACCCTGCAGAGTAGACTAAGAGGCCTTTTGTGTGACCTGAAGTCACTTCCTGATTGAGCACCAGATGGGGGTGCCACAGGATGTTGGCCATACCCCAAGCTATGCCAGGAGCAGCTGTGGACCCTTCTGCTCTGACTCATCCTTTACAACCTCAGTTCCCCTACCTGCAATCCAGAACTTGTCTGTGAGGTTTCTTTCTACTCTGAGATCACAGAAAATTCTAGAAGGCAGGCCAGGCCTCCATGCTTTGGGCCTGGCTTGTCCCTTGCCCTTTGTCTCCCAGTGTGATGGAGGAGGGCACTGACCATTGCAGACTCCTCAACATCTGACCTTTTCCTGATCTCTGACCTCTAGATCCCCTTCAGGATTTTGCACTGACCAGGCACTTTCCCAGGTTTTCCTCCAGCTCCAACTCCTACTCCAGCTCCGACTTGGGGCACCACAGCACCTGAAAAGAGGGGGTCAAATCAGAGTTGGGTCCACCCAATCCTGCAAGGGGCCACCTAGGGGAACTCAGAGCTGGCCACCATACCTGTTGATACCCCTAAGCCACCGACACCCCCGATGCCACCAACTCCGACACCACCAGGGATTCCACCAACTCCAAGCCCAGTACCTGCACATGCAGAAGACAGATAAGGATTCCCACAAAGATTGTGCCTGAAGGGCCAAAAGTTGAGATCTAGCCATTATACCTAGCTGCCTCCCCATCTGCCCAGAAGGATCCTGCCCATCAGGCTTAGGGGGTTGATGAAACTGTTCCTATGTGTGTCACTCACCAGCCTTGGCAGCAGCTTTATAAGCCGCAGCAGCCCCCGCCGCTCCTCCGGGCACCACAGGATATGCCCCGAGACCTGCAGAGGTGAGCATAGGTGAGGTCCTAGGCTGCCATGCCCAGCCTTTTCCTTCACTCAGGAAGAGCACTGGAGACTCTGTCCTTTGAAGGTGTCCAGTGTCACACAGTAGGTCCCTGCTCACCAGGATGGAGCATGTAGCAGAGGATGCATGTACCTGATGGCTGGGCTCAGCCTGACAAAGCTGTGTGAATATTTTATTTTATATTATTATTTATTTATTTTACTATGTAGATCAGGCCAACCTTGATCTCACAGAGATCTGCCTGCCTCTGCCTCTGCCACCTGAGTGCTGGGATCAAAGGAGTATGTCACTATGCCACCAGATCTTTTATTTTTTTGAGTCAAGGTCTTGCTATGTAGCTGAGGATGACCTTGAACTTCCGAACCTCCTACCTCTAACTTCCAAGTATTGGGATTTCAGGAGTATCCCACCATACTTGGTTTATGTGGTACAGGGAATGGAACCCAGGGCCTTGTGCATGCCAGGTAAGTACCCACTAAAAAATATCCCTCATCTGATATTTTGTTTTTTGAGATAAGGTCTCACTAGGTAGCTCAGGCTGGTCTGGGACTTGCTGTATAACCCAGCTGGTCTTAAGCTTGAAGTCCACATGCTTTAGCCTCCCAAGTGCTGGGATTCCAGGTATGTGCCACCACCATGCCTGGTACCTAAGTTTCTCCTCTGCCTTCTCTGGAGGGTATATCCATCCATGGGTCTCCAGGAACAGCCTCCATACAGTCCCCATCTGTGTGTTACAACTGGCCCCAGGCTCCCAGGGGATTCTCTCATACCCTGGGCAGTATTGTGGGGGTAGTTGACACCTGTGTCATCCTACATTTTTGCCCAGACTAACACCTAGTTTGTACTCTGCCCCAATTGTTCTGTATCTTGAACAGATTCAGTGGGCTGGGCTCAGGGGCTGGTATATTTTTTAAAAATATACATTTGTTATTATTATTAAAATTATTTATATTTTATGTGTATGAGTGCCTGCACAGATATAAGTGCACCATGTGCATGCAGTGCCCATGGTGGCCAGAAGAGGGCATCAGACCCACTGGAACTGGAGTTACAACAGTTGTTAGCCACCATGTGGGTGCCAGGAAACAAACCTGAATCCTCTTTAAGACTAGCCAGTGCTCTTTACCACTGAGCCATATCTCTAGCCCCTATTCTTATTTTTTTTTAATTTTTATTTTGTTTTTGGTCTTTTTGAGACAGGGTCTCCCTGTAGCCCCAGCTGTCCTGGAACTCACTATGTAGACCAGGCTGGCCTTGAACTCATAGAGATCTGCCTGCCTTTGCCTCCTGAGTGCTGGGATTAAAGGTGTGCACCACCATGCCTGGCTCTTAATTACTTTTAAAATTAAGTATATGTGTCTGTGTACATGAATGCTGGTACCATCAGCAGCCAGATTATTGGGTTTCCCTGGAGCTGGAGTTACAGGAGGTTGAGAGTCATGAGACATGGGTGTTGTGAACTACATTAGGGTCCTCTACAAGAGTAGTACATACTGGTAACAGCTGAGTCATCTCTCCGCCCCAGGGGCTCATATCTTGTTCTAGGGGGGACATTTTGCCCAGGGTATTTACACTCACCTGCCCCAAGGCCAGCACCTGCGAGTCCTCCAGGACCTGCGAGGAAGAGACAAATGAAGAGAGGTAGGAGTGTGGGCCCTTCCTGAGCTTCTTGTGAGAAGGATGTCACAGAGTTGGGGAGGGGTGGGGGTCTAGGCTGGTCTCTGCATCTTTGGTAATGGGGTGGAGGGTGTGTGATGCTGAGAAAACTGCTGCCACTGGTTAGCAATTAAATACTATGGGCAGAGTGGACATGATGCTCTCTAACAAGCTGGGCTGAGCCTGTGTGTCTCCCAGGAGGCCTGACAGCCAACAGGACCCAGCTAGCTTTCTATAAAAGCAAAAGTGGTCTATAGTGAACCCTCACCCACCCCAGGGCAGTCTAGCTCCCACTGGAAGTTACCACCCTGGACCTGTTTTCTGCTTCCTTGCTGTCCTGTCCTGACACAGCTCTTTCCCTTCCATTTTGATCTGGGAGTGTCCCCCGATCCTCCCTACATTTTGGTTTTTGACACTGGGTCTTATGTAGCTCAGGCTGACCTCAAATTCTCTATGTGACTGAGGATGATCTTGAACTCTTGATCCTCCTGCCTCTACATCCTGAGTGTTGGGATTACAGACATACACCACCATGTCTGGTTTATGTGGTGCTAGGGATGGAACCCAGGGCTTCATGTATGCTAGTCAAGTGCTCAGTCAACTTAGCCACATCCCCAACCCTGAGAGCCCTTTCTGTCTCCCACCATTTATCCACCTTTCAGTCAAGGATCCAGATGGGTCTCTCTGGCTCTCTCCTCCACACACCTGGGCCCAATCATTCCCTCTCCTTCTCCAGGAGACATTTCACAGCCTTGGCCTTGACCGATGGCCCCTGTTATAGGCTTGCTGTGGCAGGTTTTATTCCCAATTGTGGGAAAATCTCTCTTGTTAGTGCCAGCTCTGGTTGTGGGGTCTAGAGCCCCAGGGCAAAGTCCTGTGTGCGGATCCCCCAAGCATGGGGTCTGCTGAGCTTGGAGGGAGGGGGTCTACCTGGCTCCCATTGGGCATCATCTTCTACCCATCTCTCCTAACTCATTTACTACCTGGGGTGAGGTCTGAGCATGTAGCTCAATGATAGGGTGCTTGCTTAGCATATGCAAAGGTCCTGGGTTCCATTCCTATCACCGTAATATGTGTATATTACAGACATCTGTAAGATGGGTCTATAATGACCATGTAAGGTGATGTGGTAGTCAGGCAGTGATGGAAGCTGCTTGGATCATTTCCTGTCTCACCTCCCTGTCCTTTCCCAGCTCTGTCAGCTCCTTTTAAGCCAGCCTTGTTTCCTGTGCTTATAGCGAGCTAGGGACATGCACAGATCTTTCCTGTCCTACAGACAGACTGAGAAGACAAGATGTCCAGGAAGTGAGAAAAAAATGGGATGGAGGTTGGGGGACAGGCCTGGTCTTTACTGTCAGCTGCCTTTTTCCCATGCCACCTACTCTATTCTTTCCACTGCCAAACCTCTGTCCCCTGAACTCACCTCCAAACGCCCCCAGAAGTCCAGCACCTAGAGAAGAGGAGAGAGTTAGAGCTATCCACAGTTGGGGGCCCAGGGCCCTACCACTCTACCAGCCTCCTTTCCAGAGTCAGAAAGTTCTTGGTTCAGATTCTGTTGCCCCTACCCGTGATCTGTGCAGAAGAGCGAGCCATGTCACTTTCTATGAACCCGTTTCCCTATCTATTTTATTTTACTTTAAAAAAATTTTGAAACAGGGTCTCGTTAGGCAGGTTTGCTTCAGACTCAAAATAGAGCCAAGTATGATCTTGAACTGATCTTCCTGCTTCTACCTCCTGAGTGCTGAGATTATCGGTGTGTGTCACCATGCCTGGTTTAAGTGGTGCTGGGTGTGGATCTCAGGGCTTTGTGCATACTAGGCAAGCACTCTACCAACTGAGCCACATCCTTAGCCCTAATTTTTTGTTTTGCTTTCTTGACATTAGTCTCACTCTGTAACTCAGGCTGGCCTTGAACTTGCCATGTAGCCCAGACTGGCCTCAAACTCGTGATTCTCCTGTCTCATTCTCCTTAGTACTTAATCCATTCTGTAGTCCAGGGTAACCTTGAATCCTTGATCCTGTGGCCATAGCCTCCTGAGTACTGGGATGACAGGCCTGTACCACTATGCTTGGTTACTATGTCCATCTATTTGTGGCTTCCATAGTCCCTACTTCCTGGGGCCACCGAGCTTGCCAGCAGAAAGCACCCAGTGTGCACAACCTGCCAGGGTAACCTGTGGGGGCTCCACACTAGTTCCTTCCTGTCCTTACCCACACCCTTTGCTTGTAGCGGCTGGCTGGCCGGCTGGCCTCCAGCTGATGCTCTGGGTGCGGGTAGTGCTGGCTCCCAGCTGCCTGGTCCCCTGCTGAGAGTTCAGACAGGGAGGAGCCAGCCTGTAGCACCCACACGGAGAAGCAGCTGGCAGGCCACCCACCCTCTATCTCAACGGATTAATTGTTCCCAAGCATGATGCACCCCAAATCCATCCTGCCAGGGCAGGTCTGGACATCCCTCCAGCCCAGATGTGGGGACCTTCCTTGGGTTATTCAGAGTGGCTCGGCCAAACCTGTTACAACCTTGAGTTCTGAGTCTCAAAAATGACCTTAGGAACTGGACCAGTGGTACATATCTGTCATACCAGCTACTGGGAGACTGTGGCAGAAGAATCAAAGGTTTAAGGCCAGTCTGGACTACTTAGTGAGACCCTGTATCAAAATGAGAAGTAAAAAGAGGGCTGATGAGGTTCAGTGGGTAAAGGTGCTTGCCACCAAGGCAGAAGACCCGAGTTCCAGCCTCAGGACCTACATGATGAAAGGAGAGAACTGACTCCTGTAGATTGTCTTCCCACCTCCACATACATGCTGTGGTGTGCATGGACCTCTTCCTCATTCCACAGTAAATAAATGTAATACAATTTTTTCAAACATAAAAAGAAGACAGGATGTAGCTAACTGGTAGAACATTTGCCTAGAATAATACCAGGCCCTGGCTCCATCCTTGGTACCAAAGAGAGAATCAGCAAGTCACAGGGCTTTACAGATTTCCAAACACCAGGACCTGGTTTGCTCAGACACTGTGTCCTCTACCTCTCTTGCTGCTCCCAACCCTGGAGTTTCTTAACCCAGATGGGCTCTCAACAGAGGGGAATCTGGGTCTTGCTCATTCACTTGTAGTTGGATCATCTGTCATCAGGATTTCATAAGAGTGGTTGGGCATCTAAGCCCTCTAGAAGCACAGGATTTTGGAGCCAGGGTGGCAAAAGCACTGGGTGGGGATGTGTGGGCCACATGTAGAGCATTGCATATGGGGGGGCATCAATGTGGATGGAGACACAGTTCTTTCACCTGCTTTCTTTCATGTGTGTGCTGGTAGGAGGGATAGAGCCCAGGGTTTCCAACATGCTAGGTAACTTCTTTACTGCTGAGCCACACCCCCTGCCCCTCTCTGGGGGAGTCTAGGCAGGAGTTCTACCACTGAGTCAGAGCCCAGACCCTCACTAGGCAAGTATTTTACACTTAGCCATGGCATCAGTTCCTTAGTGGAGGATTCCAGGATGGTGGTCTATCCTTGAACTACATCCTCAGCCCTTTTAAAAAACTTTTTATTTTGAGACGAGGTCTTGCTATCTATCCGAGGCTAATTTCTAACTCACAATCCTGGTGCCTTAGCCTTCCAAGTAGCTGGGATTACACCAGGCCTGGTCTCCACCTGATTCTTATCCAACAGCATCTTTGAAACGCCTCTTTCCTCAATTGCCACCTCCCAATCACTGAGAGTGACTACCGATAGCAGATTCCAGCGCACTGATAAGACAGATTCATACATTTTTACTGGAAAACTCCATGGTCTAAAAACAGCTGAAAGGAACCTGGGAACAGGCAGGGTGGTCTTCTGGGGAGAGGGTCAAGTTCAAGCTTATGGCTGGGTCTGAAGTCAAGTGTCTAGAGATAGTCTGAGGCCTTCCATCCTAAGTACTGTTTTATAGGCTTGGGGGATCACTGGGACCTCAGATTCTACTTTTCCCATGGTTCCAGGGCTGTTTCTGGGGCTGTGTACAGAGAGTAGTCTTCAGGGAGCTGGAACAATGGGTCCATGCAGGACACCAGGCATCGAACTGCCTCTAGCCTCCTGTGTCTGGCCAACTTGGGGCCTGACCCTGACCTGTTGATACCTGGAGGCTGTTGCTGCCCAAAACACCCTCCCTTTTAACTCCCTTGCCAGACATAGCTCTGTAAATCTGTTCCTCCACAGCTGGGTCCCTCTGCCTGTGTTCAGGGGTCTCAGGGAGTGTTACCTGGATGGATCTTACCTGGTTTAGGCGGTTTTCCCCCAGCTCCAAGACCTGTAGAGAAAAGAAATGGTGGTAGATGGGAGAGCGAAGGTGACTCACCTCTCCTACACTTCTTTTTTGAGACAAGGTCTCATTCCGTAGCCCAGCCTTGCCTCAAACTCATTATGTAGCTGAGGATGACCTGGAGATTCTGATCCTTCTACCTCTTCCCACCTCTACATCCCAAGTGCTGGGATTATAGGCATTATAGGCATGTGCACTCTGCCCAGAAGTTTCTTAGTTTTTTTTTTTTTTTTTTTTTTTTTATGGGTTTTTTCACCTCAGAAACTATTTAAAAAATTTTTTTAAAAAATGTTTTTTTAAGTTTTTTAGTTTTTTTTTTTTTTTTTTTTTCTAATGGGCTATTCTCAGCCTGTTAGGATATCTTAGGGGAGTCAAAAGAAATATGAAAGTAGATAAGGGCCATGAGGAAAAACACCAAGGCAGGAAGGTCCTAGGAAGGTCACTAGGGTCTGTTTTGTTTTTAAAGTAGGTCTCTTCCTAATAGATGCTCAGTATGTTTAACAGGGTGCCCAGGTGCTGGAATCTTTTAAAGAGCTCAGGTCTAATGGTGTGTGATTTGGAGGGATAGTATGGTACCCAAGTTGGAATCAAGATTGGTTTCTGAACTTACCTGCTCCTAGTCCTCCAAGACCAGCAGCCCCTGGTGTGTGTTTGAAGGGGATGGGGAAAGAGAGAGAAAGAGAGAGAGAGAGAGATAGCCAGAGATTAATACCCTTTTAGATAAGCCATACTCATCCACCCATTGCCAAATCCATAACCACCTAGTGACACAACTTTGGAAAGTTAACTTCTATGACCCTTAGTTTCTTCATCTGTCTCATTGGGTCAATAGCCCTGAGCCCGCCCACACCTAAGACAGGGCTGGAGATTCCCCTGACTTCCATGTCAGTTATTATTTTTTTCTTTTTTCTTTTTTAATATGTGTGTGATACATGTGTGTATGCCTGTTTTTCATGTATGTGGTTGCGTGTCACATGGATATGTATGTATATGGAAGCCCAACGTTGATGCTGGGAATCATCCTCTGTACTCGTCCATCTTATTCACTGAGGCAGGGTCTCTCAGTCAATCCCAGAGCTCACTGATGTGGCTAGTCAGCTAGCCAGCTTGCTCTGGGGATCCCCTGTCTCTGCCATTGGAGGATGGAATTACAGGCGGCTGCCATACATGCCTGGTATTTATGTGGGTTCTGGGGATCTGAGCTTTGGTCCTCACGCTTGCATGGAAAGTGCTTCAATCACTGAATCATCTTTCCAGCCTTGTCCATGTCAGTTCTAAACACTCAAATATCCTTTTATTTTTGAGACAGTCTTACTATGTAGCACAGGCTGCCCTCAAACTTGAACTCACAATCCTCCTGCTTCAGCCTCCCCAGTGCTGGGATGACAGGTGTGTACCACCTCCACTCCCAGATAACATTCCAATGAGCTGATTTAAGATTGCCTTTTTTTTTTTTTTGGTCTTTTTGAGCTGGCCTGGATTTGCTATGGAGACCAGGCTGGCCTTGAACTCAAAGAGGTCTGCCTGCTTCTGCCTCCCGAGTTCTGGGATTAAAGGCAGGCTCCACCACACCCAGCCTCTTTTTTTTTTTTTTTTAAAGACTTGGTCTTAGGTAGCCCAGACTGGCCTGAAACTCTCTATGTTACTGAGGATGATGGCCTTGAATGCCTGATCCTTCTGCCTCTACCTCCTGAGTGCTGTGGTGATAGGCATGCACCACTCCACCTGGTCATGCAGGACTGGGGTTGGAACACAATGCTTTGTGCGTGCTAGGCAACCCGCCGAGCCATATCCTCAGCCTGTTGCTTTGTTTCTCTTTTTTCCAGTTATTTGCTTTCAATGGATTGCCAAGAGTGGGATTAGTGCTTCAAAGACTGTGAGCCTTCTAGTGACAGGAATGTGTGAAGCCGCCGGCCTCCTGACAACAGAGATTAAGTTCCATCTTTCACAATATTTATGGTCTTAATAACTACAAAGCGATGTTAAATGAACAACTTTCTGTAGGTGGGGGAGATAGGGTCTTGCTATGCAGCCTAGGCTGGCTTTGAAGGCCTAATCTTCTTGTTTGCCTTTAGAGTGTTTCATGCCCAGCTGCATTAATTGCATTTTTCTTTTGAGACAGGGTAGCCCAGGCTGGGTTTGAACTCACTGTGTAGCTGAGGATAACCTCAAACCCCTGATCCTCCTGCCTCCACCTCCTGAGTGCTAGGATTACAGGTGTGCTCCACCATGTACAATTTATGCAGTGTTGGGGATGGACCCAATTGCTTCGTACATGCTAGGTAAGCACTCTACCAACTGAGCCACATCCCCAGCCTGGTTAGCTACTTTGGAAAGTGGGCATGATTTGTGGGTCCCCAGGGGCAGGTGTGTAAAAGTTCTTGCATTCCATACTGTTAAATGTAACATCTCAGGTTGGTGAGATGGCTCAGCTGGTAAAGGGACTTGCCCCCACATGGTGGAAAGAAGGAACCAACTCCTGCAAGTTGTCCTCTGACTTCCACACACAAGTATCAGGGCACACACAATAAATATAATAAAATATTTTTAAAATGTTATCTCTTACAGACATTCCTGTCCCCATCTGCTTTATGTGGGAGTGTGGAAATTTCATGTACATTATTACCTGGATAATAGACTCCACCGGGAACTCCACCAGGCACAGCCCCTGGGACCCCTGGAAGGAAGAACATAGAATCTTTCATTAGTTATACTTATCAAACATGCTAGTAACGAAGGTGAGGAATGTTTGTAGGCCAAATGAATGCCATTTGCATTTTCTTTTTTTCTTTGTGTGTGTGTGTGTGTGTGTGTGTGTGTGTGTGTGTGTGCACGTGCTAGGAATGGAACCCAGGGCCTTTGCACTTACTAAGCCATACCCCAGCCCCTCACTGGGGGATTCTAGGCAGGTGCTCTACCAGTTAGGCAGGTGACACCAATTAGGAAACAGCCTTAGCCAGGCACCAGTCATTCTCACACTGAGCCACGCCCCCAGCCCCCCACTTGGGGATTCTAGGCAGGTGCATTAGCACTGAACCACATCCTCAGTTCTTGGTTTATTGGGACAAATTCTCACAGTGTAGTTCAGACTGATCTTGACCTTACAACCTTCCTACCACAGCCTCCCAAATAACTGAGATCATGGGTGTGTGCCACCACGTCTTGCTTTGCATTTTCTCATTCATATACCCCAAAGCATCTGTGGTTGGAAGTGCATCAATTTTGAGTGTAGTTTTAGCAGACAAATCAGGCTCAGAGAGGTTAAGAGAAATGGCTGGGGTCACACAGCTGGATAAACATGGAGTTTGGAATGAACCCAGGCCACTTCTCTGAACACGAGGGTTGACATTGCTCTGTTTGGTGACAAGGGAGCCCTGCCTATGGCTGTGGACAGACACTGGACAAGGTACTCTGCCTACCGACTCCACCCAGTGCTGAGCAGTGTGGTTGGAGCCTGTTATAGAGGGCAGACACCAATTAGGAAACAGCCTTGGCCAGGTGCCAGTCATTCCCACACTGATAGGATAGCAGGCGGCCAGTGTCCTCGGTCCCTGGGCTGCTATTCTTGGGTGGGGCTCTGGCCATCTGACCCAGGGCTGTCTTGGGAGACGCCTGGGCCTGGAGTGGGTGGGAGGGGGAACACCATGAATGAGTAAAGCAAATAGTTTCCTAAGAACAGTTAATTCCCAGCCAAGGTCACGAGTTCAGTCCTTAGGGATCAGCCAAAGCTCTCATTGGAGAGCATTAGGGATGCTGGCCCTGGAGTTACTGTCATAGCAAAAAATAGAGACTGCCAAAGTGAGCCATGATCTCCAACCTTGACAAGTCACCTTGTCACCAAGGGCCCAGCTCTGCCTTGCATGAAGGAAGCCAGGAAGTCTCATGGCTGAGGATTCAAGGTAGGTCCCAAGAGACCTCAAGGCCAGATGTCTGTGTCTGGCCTCTGAGGCATGGTGACTCTACACAGCTGGACTGCTGGTCCCTGGACCTGGTCAGCTCCATCAGCTGCAGCCCCAGCTGCCATGGCCAGCTTGTGCCTAAGTCCTGGCACCAACTCCTCCTGGGGTCTGTGCCCCTTCCTCTCCCAACCCCCTAGAGACTGACAGCAAGTAAGGTCTAGATAGTGTGAGCAATCTGGTCAGTGTTTGGGGGCTCAGAGGGGCAGCCCAGGGGGCTGGGACTGCTAGGAATAAGCATTCTGGTTTTGTCATGTGCTGCCAAAGTCACACATGGTTCCGCTCTGGCCTTTGATGCAGTCCCTGGCTCTGGCTTCAAGCTCTGATCATTCTCATGCATGGAGAGAGGTTCTCGGCCTCTGCTCTCTCCCTTCTCCACTTTCTTCCCTGCTGTGTTCTCCAAGCCCAGAGCTGACTGCTGGGAACAGCGTGGTGGGTGGGAATGATGAGGGACTCGGACGGAACCCTCTGGCTTCTCACCAGCTGTGTGACCTCAGAAAAGTCACTTAACCTATCTGAGCCCCTCCCTTTGTCCCTCCCTCTGTCCCTCCGTCCCCCCCTCCCTTCCGTCCTTCCTTCCTCCTTTTTTTAAAACATGGTAAGACAGTATCTCACTATGTAGCCATGGGACTTGCTGTGTCAACCAGGCTGGCCTCCAATTCTGTGCAGCCAAGGAGCAGCTTTGAACTTCCAGTCTTCCTGCTTCTACCTCCCGAGTGCTGAGATTATGGCCTGTGCCACCATGCCCAGTTTATGTGGTGCTGGGGATGGAACCCAGGGCTTTGTACATACCAAGCAAGGATTCTACCAACTGAACATCCCAGTCAACCCTGAGTTTTCTTTTTTACAATGCAGGGTTGATCTTCGCTGTCTCCTATGGTTCCAAGGGTTCAAGTAAAAGAGTATTTGTTCTGTTCATATCTGGCACAGAGTAACAGTTCAAACAAACAAACACAGAAACCTGCAGGCATGGTGGCACACCCCTTTAATCCTGCACTCGGAGGCAGAGGCAGGCCAGTCTGGTATACATAGTGAGCTTTAGGCCAGCTGGGGCTACTGCAAGACCTTGTCTCAAAACAAACACAAAACCAAACGTGGGTGACCTTAGTTCCCCTTTTTTCTCTTAGTATATGACCAGGGCCATGTATACAATAGGTGCTCAATAAATAAGTGAAAAATATAGGAGATTTATGCGATCTGTTTCTCTCCTCTCCATAAAACCCCTTGAGGCTTCTGGGCTGATTGAACCACTTTTTCTCTCTTGGGGTGCCGTTCTCTTATACTCCACCTGTGGCCAGGCCCCTCCGGAGGACATTGCTTCCCCTGTCCCCAGTCAGCTCTTCTCTCTGCTTTCCACACCCAGGATTCACAGCTCAATAGTGTTGGCCCAACTCCACAGCTGACCCAGGAGGCGGAGAGAGTTGGAATATTGTTTTGAGACAGGATTTCACTATTTAGCCTAAGCTAGTTTTGAACTCCAGATCTTCAGCCACTGGAGTGTTGGGAAGGCAGGCGTGTGTCACCCTGACTGATCTGAATTTTTGATTTCTGCTTTGCAATGAGAAACAGAGAAGGCTGAGTGGCTGTCAAGAGCTCTGCTCTCTCTCTCTCTCTCTCTCTCTCTCTCTCTCTCTCTCTCTCTCTCTCTCTCAACATGGGACAGGTGAGAACAAAACAAGAAAGAATCTGCTGGGACTGGTGAGATGGCTTAGTGGGTGAAGGTGTCTCCTGCGTGTCTGTTGCCAAGCCTGACAACCTGAATTTGACCTGGGACCTCACATAGTAGAAAGGGAGAGCTGACTCTCTCAAGTTGTCCTTTAACCTCCACACACATGCCATGGCATGGGTATGCATGTGCACACACACACACTAAATAAAAATAATGATAGGGGCTGGAGAGATGGTTGTTCTTGCAGAAGACCTGGGTTCGAATCCTAGCACCCATATGGCAGCTAACAACTGTCTGTAACTCCAGTCCTAGGGAATCTGACAACCTCTTCTGACCTCCGTGCACATTGCACGACACGGGTGCACTTACCTACATGAAGGCAATACATGCACACACATAAAAAAATATAATAAATTAAAAAAAATAATGATAAAAGAATCTACACACAGCTGGGCATAATGGTACATACCTGTAATCCTAGTTATGTGGTGGGGCGGGCAGTGGTTGAGACAGGGAAGATCATGAGTTTGAGGTCATCCTGGGCTATATAAGGAGTCTGAGGCCAGCTTGAGCTACATAGGGAGGTCAAGGCCAGCTTGTGCTACATATAAGATTTCAAGGCCAGCCTGGATTACATAGGGAGGCTTAAGCTAGCTTGTGCTATGTAGCAAGATCTTGTCTCAAAAAACAAAAACAGTCTACAGAGGGCTTCCATCCTGTGTGCCAGCTCCATGTGGCTGCTGGCAGCTGGCTTGGAATGCACTTGCCTTGTTTTATGTGGGTCTGGCTCTTCCGCCCACTAGCTTGGGGTGGATCTTGTCTCTCTCATGTGAGAGTCATAATCTTAGACTCACAGGGATCAAAACAATCTTCTGGCCTTGGATTGGAACTCCTGCTTGTATACTTCCCGAATTGGGAGTCTTGCTGTGCTGTTCCTCACTGCTACCTGAGTGGTCTACGGAGGGCTCCCTCCTGTGCCACAGAGCCTAGCCCTTGGTCTCTCAGACTCTGCCCACCCGAGCCCCCAGGCCAGGGCTCCCTTCCTACCTGTGGATACTCCCTCAGCCACTCTTCTTCTCTTTGGTTTTCTCAAGACAAGATCTCACTATGCAGACCAGGTTGTCCTTGAACTATGTAGCCCAGGCTGACATTGAACTTGAGACCCAACTGCTCTTTTCTTCTTTCTCCCTCTTCCCCGCCCCCCACCTTTTTTTTTTTTTTTTCCTGAGACAGGTCTAAAGCTAGCTTTGAACTCTCTATGTAGCTCAGGCTGGACTTTGGCTTAATATCCTCCTGTCTTAGCTTCCTGAATTCTGGGGATTATATGCCAGTGCCACCACACTGTATTTTTCTTTCGAGACTTACCTCAAATGCTCTTCTCAGGGTCTCTGGACAATCCCTCCCTGAATCCTGTTTCTACTCCAACTGCCTCTGACAGGGAGAATTAAACCTTAGAAATTGGGCTGGGGAGGGCGGGAGTGTGGGTACACACCTTTAATCCCACTTGGGAGGCAGAGGCAAGAGGATCACTGCAAATTCAAGAGGCCAATCTCCTCTACGTGTGGAGTTAGAGGCCAGGCTACACACACAGTGAGACCCTGTTTTAAAAAAACCAAAAGGGGCCGGGCGTGGTGGTGCACGTCTGTAGTCCCAGCATTTGCCAGGCAGAGGCAGGTGGATCTTTGTGAGTTCAAGGCCAGACTGGTCTACATAGTAAGTTCTAGGACAGCTGGGGCTACAAAGAGACCCTGTCTCAAAAAGACCAAAAAAAAAAAAAAAAAAACCAAAAAAACCAAAAAACCCCCCAAAACCAAAAGGGGCTGGAGAGATGACTTGGTGCTTAGGAGCACTGGCTGCTCTTGCAGAGGACCCAGGTTTGGTTTCCAGCACCCACATGGTGGTTAACAACCATCTGTAACTCCAGTTCCACGGGATCAGATGCATTCTTCTGGCGTCTTCCGGCATTGCACGACACAGGTGCACTTATATACATGCAAGCAAACACCCATACACATAAAATAAAAATAAATAAAAATTTAAAAACTGAAAAGAAAAGCAAAAGTATGTTTAAACCTTAGAAAATTCAAGCCAGGCTTGCTTGGTGGTGCACAGCCATAACCCCAGCACTCAGGAGGTGAAGGCAGGAGGATCAGGAGTTCAAGGTAACCCTCAGCTATGTGGTAAGTTCTAGATCAATTTGACACTCTGTCTCAAAACAAAAAACAAAGGCAGAAAAGAAAAAGAAGAAAAATAAAACTTAGGGGCTCGGGGATATAACTCAGTGTAGAGTGCTTGCCTAGCATGTCAAAGCCCTGGGTTCCATCCCCAACATCACAAAATAGTAAGTAAGTAAGTAAATAAATAAATAATAAAAAAAACCTGAGAAAATTAAAGGTAGGAAGTAATTACAAGGACACATCATCCTATTAGCAAATTATGAGTAAGATAATTTATTATTTTACTATTTACTATTTCCATCTATATATTTGACAGTTGTCAAGTAGTTGCTGTCCACCTCTCCTGGTCCCCAGAGCCTGGGTACTAAAGACGGGGACACTTTTTCTCAATTTGCAGCCAGGGAAAGCAAGAACCAGGAAGACAAAGCACATTGGCCCGGGACTCACATTTTACCTTGGACTTGATGCCAGGAGGTTCAAAGACCATTAGGGAATGAAACAGCTTGGGAATGCAGACTGGGGCCAATGAACCTTGGCAAGAGGTTCTGCTAAGCCAAAGTCCAGTTCGGCGGTTTGGGATTGGACTGAGCAGATAAGACCTCACCAAGCTGTTCATTGTGTGTATGCAATAGACTGCTGGGTGCTTTTCAAAAGCTGTCAGTTGTCCTGTGGATGGGTGACTGCCCCCCACCCCAGCAAGACACATAGAGTCAGATCAAGGCATTAAACCCTTGGAAGCTTATCAGAGGCACCTGGGGAGCTATTAAACCCCAACCCCCTCAAGTGAGGGACATCAAATAGAGTAAGAATTCAGACCCTGGTGACTGTCATGCCCAGCCAGGGTTGGAATCTCCTGAGCTGAATCAAAATTGATAGTGGTGGTGTTGAGAATATTTTTGGTGGAGGGTCAGGGAGAGTATTGAACTTGGTTTCATGTCTCATGTATCTATTTTTTTTCTTTTTGAGACAGGGTCTCATATAGACTAGGTTGGCCTTGAACTTATTATGTAGCTAAGGATGAACATTGAATTCCTGATCCTCCTGCTCTACTTCCACCTTGGGATCACAGGCATACACCACCACATTCAGTTTTTTGTGTTCTTTTAATTTTATTTTAGGGTTTTTTTTTTTTTTTTTGATAGAAGGTCTCACAATGTAACCCATGATAGCTTGGAACACACTATATAGCACAGGCTGGATTCAAACTCATACCAATCCTCTTGTCCTAGCCTTGTGAGTGTGCAAAACACCACACCTACCTCCTCTGTCCCCTAACGCAGGATCATTTCCCCTACTGGTAACATGGAACTAACCCTGTGACACCTTTCTCTTGGGGAGACTGAGCTCTCCCAGAACCAGCCAGAGGCAGGCTAGACAGGTATGACCGGTGGAGTCTGTGAATAGATCTTGAAAGACCTCATCAATTCACATTCCCCTTATTTGAACCCTGGAACTCTGGCCACCCTGGGACAGAGCTAAGTTTTCTTTATGTCAGCTGAGCACTGAGTGATGTCAGCCAGGTTACATATGAGGAGAGGGTTTGTCCTGCCTTTAAAAGAGGACTCCACCCCAGGATTGTTCCTCCCTAAATGATCTCTGGCACCTTTCTCTCATCCCCTCATCTTTTGATTTAGGGCCCCAAACTGGCTGATACTAACTCCCAATGGCTGCTTTAGCCTGTCTGAGCCTTAGTTTCTTCATTTCTATATTTTTTCAAGAAAGGGTCTGGAATAGCCCAGGTTGTCCTCAAACTCCTTAAGTATTTAAGGATGACCTTGGACTCCTGATCCTCTGGCCTCCAGGTTCCAAGTGCTAGGATCACAGGTGTACCCTGTTATGCCCAGTTTATTTGGGGCTGGGGATTGAACTCAGGACTTAACCCTCTCTTATTTATTTTTTTGGGGGGTGGGGAGACAAGATCTCACTATAGTTCAGGCTGTCCTCCAACTTGCTATCCTCCTGCCTCAAGTGGGTTCCTTCCTACCTGGCTTCAGTTTCCCCAGGAACTAGTTATACCATCTGGGATGGGCAGGTCAGATAGGCCAGAGTGGCTGATCTTTAACCAGTGGCTTGCTGTCCCTGCAGGATCCCCTCTTCTTGGGACCTACAACCCTCAGTCTTGTCTCAGCCATAGGGAGCCCCTGTCCCCAGCTGACAGCCCAGCAGGTCAGTCTCTCGGAAACAGATGCTATTCCCACCTAGCCTCTGACTACAGCCCTGCCCTGCCCAGAATGCCCCTGTTGCCCACTCAAGGTCTGGTTCCCACAACAAGGAGGTCTCCCACAGAAATCAGACCCCACCCAGGTTGCCCCAGCAAATGGCTCATGTATGAGCTTGCACCTCTCTCTTTACAGTCGGTGAACCTTCCATCTGGGAGCAGTCCCTTCCTCCCCTATAACCACTGTGCTCCACCCAGACACATACCAGATTCCAAATATCTTGAAGTTTAATAATATAGCCTCTGACACTGGCCATACTGTCACTCAAGAGATGGGCACTTCCCCCAGCCTGTACCCTTACTTGTATTCCACACCAAACACACCCTCACATAAACGTTTACACACTCATGCATAGTGACAACTCACACCTGGGGACTAGACTTTTTGTTTAGCCTTTTGTTTTTTTGAGATAGAGTCTTATGTAGCCAAAGATGACTCTGAACTCCTGATCCTCTTGCTTCCACCTTCCTAGTATTGGGAGTGTGTGCTACAGGTGTGTGCCACCAGGTCTGCCCAGTTTATGTGGTGCTAAGGACGGAACCCAGGGCTTGGTGCATGCTAAGCAAGCACTCTACCAACTAAGTCACATCCCCAGCCCTTTTTTAGTTTTTCTTTGCACTGGGTCTCACTCTGTTAGTCCAGATTGTGGCTTAAAACTCACAATCCTCTGGCTTCATCGTCTCCAAGGACTGGGATCACAGGTGTGGCTCACCACATCCGGCCCAGCTAGGTGGTAGAATTTTGCAGTCTCTAATACACAACTTCAAGGATACCTCCCTCTCCCTCCAACTGCCTACGGACAGGCCTGTGAATAGACATTCCTTCCTTCCCAGACACTGCCCCTTTGGGGACATATCTGAATGTAACCTCAGATTGACACCTGTGTGGTATAATCTGTGACATGCCCACATAGACTTTCTCTCTCTCTCTCTCTCTCTCTCTCTCTCTCTCTCTCTCTCTCTCTCTCTCTCTCTCTTTCTCTCTCTCTCTCTCTCTCTCTCTCTCTCTCTCTCTCTCTCTCAAGGTTTCCCATACTCTTCAGCAGAGACAAACCACAGTAGCATCTTCTAAAGCCAAAATCACCTTGACTCTGACCTTCCTCAGAGGAGACCACCTGACTTCCCAGGGGGACAGGGAACCTGCCCAGGCCACACAGCTTGCTATAGAAGTTCTAATGGCCACTGGGAAAAGCATGCGCATTCCTTAGCGCTTGGATCTGGGGTAGGGACTATCCTAATTTGTGGGGTGTACGTTTGACAGGCCCCCCTCCCTTAAAATGGGGCTGGTTCCCAGGAGGGGACAGTTTGCAGGATCCTGGCTGGAGGAGGGAGGATCTGGGAGGTGAAGGGTTCCTTTATGGCACTTCCATCTCCAGGATCCCCAACCGATCTTGCCACCTGGAGTTCAGGTGCCCCCTCAGGTTGTGGGCAGCTTGGGACCCTTACCTCCAGGCTGTGCGGGATGAAGGAGGTTCAACAGGGAAATCAGCAAGATGCTGGGCTGCGGGATCGCCGCTGTCAGACCCGCCATCTCGGGGAGGACTGCCCCAGCCTGCTCTCTGCGCCTCGTTTTATCCCCAAAGCGTAATTGCTGCCTGGTCGGCTGCTGTGAGGGAAAGAGGGAGGGAGAGAGGGCGGGTGGGAAGAGGCCGGGAGGAGTTGGCCAGGAGGAGGGGGCAATTACGAAAGGCTAGGCTTGCAAGCTTCCTAGGCTGGCTCTGGAGCTGCCTGGACCATGGGCCTATTTTCCTTCACACACACACACACACATACACACACACACACACACACACACACACACACACACACTGCTTTTCCCCCCATCGTTTTCCCTTCCCTCTGTAGCTGTTTGCTCGATCCTGGCCTTGTTCCCACCAGAAAGTGCGAGGGGGCCTCTGCCAGGACAGCCCTCGGGAGAGGAAGCAAGAGGGAGGGCCCAGGCAGCCGGGCCAAAAAAATCCCAGCCCTAGCCAAGGCTGGAGTGGCCAGGCCCCCGCCCCTTCGCCTGGGCCCCGGGCCCAGTGTGGGGACACAGGCCAGCTGTCCTGAGCCTCAGCTCCCACCCTGGCCCTCCAGACACCCCAACATCCCCCAAGTCTGGCTGGAGACAAGGCTTTACCCAAAACAGGTGTGGGAAGGTTGGGGGGGGTGTTCAGGGTTGACTGTGGAGCTCAAGGGTCTGCAGGCAAAATGGCCTGGGGGCGTAAAGTCAGGTGGGTCCAGTACTCTGCCGCATCTTGAGGACAGAACTGGGACCCTGACATAGCTGACCCAGCTCAATTGTGGTGGGGACATAAGTTTAACCATCTGTTTGAAACCAGAGAAGGTGTGTTGGATAAATCTGGGGTCTGTATTTTCAAGGACCAAGGCGCTGGAGGTCAGGTTGAACGTTCTTGGAGTGAAAGTCCTGTTTTTAGTGTATTTGGAGCACGAAGAGGACCCCCCCCCAAACACAGTGTCCATTCTGTCCCAGCCATGGACATAGCCACAAACCAACCCTGAATATACCGCAGTGCCCAACAGATATCAGGCTGGACCCCAGGTGCTTGATGGGGAACAGGGAAGTGGGAGCCTCCAGCAGATAACTGTCATTCCAATCTTGGCATTGCTTGTTGGCCACCTGTCCCACACAGGGCACTATTAAACATCTAGACTACATCTGGGAAGCTGATTCTCCCTCTGAGTCCCTGGGAAGGTCTGGGGCTGCTATTCCTATTTTGACCAGAAGGGGGCAGCCTGTGCTAAACCAGCTGGGACAGCGGGACAGCAAGGCAGCAGACATGCAGTCCCCAGGCCAAGCCTGCCCCTCAAGATACAGGGGCCTTAGGGAAATTTAGCGATGTGAAGAGGGTGAGTCTGGGAAGGTTAAGCCTGTCTCAGACCCCTGGAAGTGGGAGAGAAATGTGGACACTAGAGAACAGGAGAGGAAGATGGATGCTTGCACTAGGTCACAGGTCAGAGGACAAAGTCGAGGCCACATGTGCTGCGGGCTCTCCCCTGCATGGGGGAGGCTCACATGGCTGAGTTAAAGGTTCTTCCCACACGGGCACAGGGCAGTTGGTGCAGTCTGCAGGTGATAGGGGCAGTCAGGAGAGGACAGGCCAAAGGTAGGTCTGAAACTCAGACCTGGGGCTAATTTCTGGCTTAGTTATTTTTCTTTTCATTCTTTTTTCCTTCCCCTTTTAAACCCCCTTTCCCCTTCTTTCCTTTACCTCCTTCCTTTCTTCCTTCTCTCACTCTCCCCTCCCTTCTTTCCTTCTCATTTCTTCTCTGTTCCCTCTTCTCCCCCCCCCTTTCTTCCAACATGGGAGAAACATGTAGCCCAGGCTGGCCTTGGACTCAAGATCCTCCTGCCTCTGCTTCCTGAGTACTAGAATGACAGGTGTACACTATCACCCCCAACTGGTTTGAGCACTTTTTAGTGGGCAACTTCTTTTGCCTCATCTCTCAGTGGGGGCTAATTGCCTCCCAACTAGGAAAAATAAGAAAGTGTGGGCATGTGTTTCTGCCTCATGTCTGCTGGCTCAAAAAATGCTCTAATTCATTCGGTATGGACAGTACTATTGCTGTCGCCGATTCTGCAAGCTCTCGCCGATTCTGCAAGCTCTGCCCGTTTCTGCTGTAGCTACCCTGTTGGACTCTCTCCCGGGGTACTTTGAGACTCTGAGTAATCTCTCCCTTCCCCAGGGTTATGGCGGCACCAGATGTTTGGAAGGTAGGGACCTGATAGGTGAATCATTCCAAAGCAGGCATGGTGGTGCTCACCTGTCATTCTAATACTAAGGAGGCTGGGGCAGGAGAATGGAGGGTTTGACACCAGCCTGGGGTATCTAGCAAGTTCCAGGTTAGTCTTGGCTACCTAGCAATACCCTGTTTCAATAAGCAAAACAGGGTGGCTGGAGAAATGGCTCAGTGGTTAAGAGCACTGGCTACTTTCACAGAGGACCTGTGTTTGGTTCCTAGCACCCACATGGCAGATAACGCCCTCTTCAGGCCCCTGAGGGCACTGCATGACATAGGTGCACTTACATACGTGCAGGCAAATCACTCACACACATTAAAAAACAAAACCCCTTAAAAACAAACAGACAAAATACAGGCAGGAGTGGTAGTCTGTGCTTATAATTCTAGCACTTTGGAGGTGGAGGCAGGAGGATCAGAAGTTTAAGTTATCCTTGGCTATATAGTGAGTATGAGGCCAGCCTGGACAACATGAGACCCTGTGTCAAAAAACTAAAAATCAAATGGAGGGGGGAAATGCGTACCATCTTGAAGCTGTTTGCACATCAAGTGTGTAGTTCTTGTGTAATGTGTTTATTTGGAGGTTCACTGGGGGTGCAGATAAAGATTATAACCCTAAAGCCCGAGCCCCTGTTGGTGGAAATGGGGGCTGTTTCAGAAATTGCCTGAGGCTCTATGTCCTGGAAGGGGCTGCCAGGATGGAGGGGGGTGGAACCAGAGATTCATCTGTGATCCGTGTGTCTTCCTTGGCCTCTCCTGCCAACACGGGGGAAAATTGGAAATGAGGGGTGCCGGTGGGGAGCTGGGCCCCACTCCTCTTGGAGCAGTGACGTGGGCAGGAACCGGCTTTCAGACTTGCAAACCGCAGTCTGCTCAGAGTCTTTATTAATTCCAGGACTGGGAAGGAGCCTGGAGCCAGCAGGAGAGGGCTCGCTGAGGGATTTAAGAGAGGTATAGAGGGGGGCTTGTTGGGATAAAAGAAGCTGCTGGGTTGGGGCCCAGTGTCTTGTACCCACTTTGAGCTCTTGTGTACTCAATAAAGCACCTCTCCTCACACAAGCTGGGTAGGGCTCCATGTACCTGCAAAGGGGTCCCCAAATCCACTCAACTGTCATCTATGGAAATTAGCGAAGTGCATAAAGGAATAAGGTAAAGGTATTGATTGACATCTGTCCATTCATTATCCAGTCACTGGAACGTTCCAGAAAGCCAACAGTCCTCAACGGATTGGTGCCACCTCCCTGCATAGCTGGACAGAAGAAATGAGCTCATACATAGAACCACTGGCGGAGAATGGCTTGGTGCCTTGACTGAGATGGTTGACAAACGCCTGCTGGGAGCCCAGCTGGCTGTGGGCTGAGGGAAACCCAAGACAGTCATTTGAGCAACGTCTATGGGTTCCAGCTCCTTGGGTGCTCTGTCTGGGGACACAACGAATAGGCTCCACGGGGCTCTAGGAATGCCATTGTTTGCCTCTGAGACCCTCAGTAGCCATTTAGAACAATTTCAGCCTTTTCATTTGCTTCTTCTATAGTACTGGGGATGGCACCTGGGGCTTCACTCTGGTTAGGCAGGTGCTCTAACCACTGAATCACACCCAAGCCCCTCACTGAGGGAGTCCAGGCAGGTGCTCTATCACTGATCTGCATCTCCAGCCTACTTTACTTTTTACCTCAAGACAATGTCTTTGTTGCTCAGGGTAGCTCTGAACTTTCTCTGTAATACAGGCTGGCCTTGAACTTGAGATCCTCCTGCCTGAGCCTCCTGAATAGCTGGGAAGAATGACCTGAACTACAACCCTCACCTCAAATTTCACGCTTCTGAATATGGTTTTCCATGTCCTATATGACCAGCTCAATCTGTTCCATAGTAGCCTTCTTTCCTTAACTGACCTGGGCTCCCCAGCCCCAGGTTACTACTGGAATTTGCAGTGCTGGGTGTGTGTGAGAGAGGTTCTCCAGTCTCAGCATATCTGCTTCCAGTCACAGTGTCACTGATCCCTGAGCACAAGGACCTCAAGCTCAACTTGGGTATTTCCTTTTGTCACCCTGACAGTGAGCCGTCATGGCTGGCAGATGCATGGATGGTGGCCCCCTATTTAAGAGTGTTGGACAAAGGCTCTAACACAAAATGGGGGCAGAGACTGCTGGTGTAGACAGATTTCCAGAATCCCTGGAATATGTCAGGTTTTCCTCCTTATTTACAGATGCTTTCATCAGGATCGTGTTGCTCTGTCAGATCCTAGGCCACTGAGAGGGGCTAGCCTGGGCAGAGCTGGAGATTCAGCAACCAGATCTGGGGCCCCAGATCTGCTTTGTCTCCAGGCTACTGAAGACCTTGTGGCAGTCATTTATACTTTAGTGTGAGTAAGAGCTCCCTCCAGCCAAACCTAGAGGAAATAGAGCTGATACATTAGTAGGAGAAAATGAATTATCATATGGCCTAAACTGAGGTTTGAGAAGGAAATCCATATTAATGGGACAGATACCTGAACACAGAACACACATTTCCCCAGCTTCCTGCCGCAGACACGCAGACACCACCTTTCTTCTGATTATATTTTAATTATTAATGAATATTTTTTTGTTTGCTTTTGTGGTGCTGAGGATGGAGCCTAGTGCCTCATGAAGGCTAAGAAAACACTTATCAACTGAACTACTTCCTCAACTTCCTCTCCCCAACCCATTTAAATTATATAGACCAGGCTGGTCTTGAATCGGAGATCCTCAGCCTTGTGAGAACTGGTTTTATAGGTATGTACCACTAAGCCCAGTTCTTTCCTCTGATTTTTAAAATATTTTATTTATTATTTTTTATTTTTGTGTGTAGGACTATATTGCCTGCAGGTGTGTAAGTGCATCCACGTCATGCAATGCCTGCAGAGGTCAGAAGAGGGCATGGGATCCCCTGGAACTGGAGTTACAGATGGTTGTTAGCCACCATGTAGATGCTGGGGATCAAACCTGGGTCCTCTACAAGAGCAGCCACTGAGCCATCTCTCTAGTCCCTTTTCCTCTGAATTTTTTTTTTTGGTCTTTTTTGAGATAGGGTCTCCTTGTAGCCACAGCTGACCTGGATTCACTGTGGAAACCAGGCTGACCTTGAACTCACAAATATCTGTTTGCATCTGCCTCCTGAGTGCTGGAACTTCAAGGCGTGCGCCACCACACCCGGCTTCCTTTCCTCTGCTTTAAAATTTCCTCATAGTTCCATAAAATAAAAGAAAACTAGGGCTGGCAAGATGGTTCAGTGGATAAAGGGTTTGCTGCCAAGACAGATGACCTGAGTTCCATCCCCCAAATCTACATGGTAGAAGGAGAGAAACAACTCCCACAAGTTCTCTTCAGATCTCCACATGTGGGATGTGTCATATACACATATATACATATTCAAATAAATAAATGTAATAAATGAGAAACCTTAAGTAAAAATTAATTCTAATAATATGTTATGTTAAATGCAGCATATCTAAAATATCATTTTGCAGATAATCCACATAAAATTGATAGTAAGATGTTTGTCATTATTTTCTGGTACTAACTTTTTTTTTCTTTGAGATAGGATCTCACTATGTAGCCCTGGTTGGCCTGGAACTCACTGTGTAGACCAGGCTGGTCTTGAACTCATAGAGATCTACCTGCCTCTGCCTTCCAAGTGCTCAGATTAAAGGTGTGAACTACCATGTCTAGCTATTTTTCTCTTCTTAGTCAATTGCTTACTGTAAGAGTCTCAGTCAGAAACTCAGAAATAGTAAAGGGAAATTATCTTTCTGCCCTAGACAATATCAATACTACCTAAATCTCAGTAGCCACAGGTGGCCCTAGTAGGGCTGGGGACCTGGCTCAGTGATAGAGCACCTGCCTAGAATCCTCTAGTGAGGGGCTGGAGAGTGTGGCTCAGTGGTAGAGCATCTGCCTAGAATCCCCCAGTGAGGGGTTGCTGCATGGCTCAGTGGTAGAGCACTTACCTAGAATCTCCCTCAGTGAGGGCCTGGGGAGTGTGGCTAAGGTGCTCAGTAGTAGAGCACCTGCATAGAATACCCCAGTGAGGGGCTAGGGTGTGACTCAGTAGCTGAGTACTTGCTGCTTTAGCATATGGCAGGCTCTGGGTTCCATCCCCATCATCACAGAAAAAAATAAAACAAAGCTAAAACACAAACCAGAAGATTAATTTCTGTGAGAGTTAGGTACACAGAAAGTGTTCAAATGTTTGATTGAGTTTCTAACTCCATTTTGGTCACTGAAGTAGACGATGGGAATTTGTCGAAGGGCAGGTGTAGAAGGAAGCCCCCTTCCCAGAAACACCATCCACTGCCCCACTGCCCTGGCTCCCAAGCAGCCTCTTTCTGATCTAGCAGAGCCTCACACTTTCCCCTAGACCCAGCTGTTTGTATGTCTGAATCATTTGTCAGTCTGGGTTGTTGGCCAGTGTGAGCTCTGAGCCTGGGGATGGGGGGTAGGGGTGTGTGTGTGTGTCCTGGACTGGCTGTTCTCATATTGCCTCACGAGCTGTCTGCTGCTTTCTGGGGGGAGCCGAACATCATGATCCATGCTTGTGTATCCCCTCCCCAAGGGACCCAGGACAGAGGAGTCCAGAACACGTCTTCATGTGTTTGACACTTAACAGTTTACAAAGAACACATTTCTCGTTTTGATTGGGGATATTATTATCCCAGTTTATAAACAGAGGGGTTAGGAACCCTGTCTACATACCCACAGAAAGAGCTCTGTCCCTATCTCCTTAGATCTATTTAATTTTAACTCTAAGCCCCTGTCATGTGGAGGGCGGGTGGCAGTGCATTCCATCACAGTTACTGGACCTCCTTGCACCCTCTACCAGCGCCCCACATCCAGGCATCTCTTGAGGATGGCAGGCTCCTGCCTCCTTAACCCCCACCCCCCATTTATTTATTTCGAGACAGGGTCTCATGTAGCTAAGGCTGGCCTTGAATTTCCTATGTAGCAGAGGCTGTCCTTGAAAGTTCAAACTTCACCTCCTGAGAGCTGGGATGACAGGCACACACCACCATGTCTGGTTTATGTGGGGCTGAGGCTAGAACCCAGAGCTTTGTGTATACTAGGCAAGCACTCTACCAATTGAGCTGAAGCCCAGCCTTTGAGCTCTCTGGTACTTTTAGAAACTGTATGATTCTGTGCACTCTAAGACTGTGTAAGGGCCTTGCTGAAGTTAGGTAGCTCAGGTTTGGACCACTTTGGGGGGCACTTCCAAGAGAGTAGAATGCTTTCAGTCCCAGGAAATATGTCCTTGGAACTGGACTTCTAGATGGTTGTTAACCTCCATGTGGGTGCTGGGAACCAAACCCAGGTCCTCTGCAAGAGCAGCCAGTGCTCTTAACTGCTGATCCATCTCTTCTGCCCCATTTACCTTAGGTTTTTTTTGTTGTTGTTGTTGTTGTTTTTTTTTTTTTGGTCTTTTTTGAGACAGGGTCTCCCTGTAGCCCCAGCTGTCCTGGAACTCACTATGTAGACCAGGCTGGCTGTGAACTCACAGAGATCTGCCTGCCTCTGCCTCCCAAGTGCTGGGATTAAAGGTGTGCACCACCATCCTGGTTTCACCTTAGTTTTTTTTTTTTTTTAAGATTATTTATTTATTTATTTATTTATTTATTTATTTATTTATTTATTCTGTGTGGATGCTCTACCTGCATGTATGTAAAGTTCACCACATGCATGCAGTGCTCTGCAGAGTCCAGAAGAAGGTGTGAGATCCCCTGGAACTGGAGTTACAGATGGTTGTTAGCTGCCATGTGGGTGCTGGGAATTGAACCTGGGTCCTCTGGAAGAACAACAAATGTTCTTAACAGCTGAGCCATCTATCTAGCCCCCACCTTGGTTTTTGAGACAAGGTTTCTCACTGAATCTGGAGAACATGGATTAGTCTTTGCTTGCCAGCTAGCAAGCCCCAGGGAGCAATCCTCTTGTCTTCAACTTCCCAGCACTGAGACTACAAGTGTGGGCCATGGTGCCTGGTTTTTTATGAGGGTACTGGGGATCTGAACTCAGGTCTTCATGTAAGCACTTCATAGGCTAAGCTGTCTCACCAGTCTCCACGCAGGCTGGCCTCCAGTCTGTGACTCCTCTGCCTCAGTCTCTGAAGTGCTCTGAATCACAGAGGTGTACCACTAGGCCTGGCTCCTTGCTATTTTATTTTATATGTACCTTGAGTATATTTATTTTCAGAAAAATTGCATAAACATGGAATTAATGACTTCAGAATTTTTCCAATATTAAGAATTTTTGTCAGTTTTCATAGATTTTCTTGATAAATTGTTCTTAAAAATGACTCTATTAAATACTGCAAATAATTTACATAAAAGGGCCATTTTTACAACATATTCATGAATATTTAACTCTATCACTCATGGTTTGAAAAGCAGACCAGGCTGTCCTTGATGTCACAGAGATCCTCCTGCCTCTACCTCCCGAGTGCTGGGATTAAAGGTGTGAGCCACATGACCAGCTAATTCATATTTTTTTGATTGCTATAAAATATGCATATCTTTCAAAGCTTTCATGTAACGTTTTTAGCTGTCTCTTTCTATATTATGTCCAAACTTAATTGCTTTTCTCACATTTAATTTTTTTCTGCTTTTTCTCCAATATATAATTTTTATTGAATTTCTGTTCATTTCATTTAAATCATATTTAGACTGCCTCCCCTATCTGCACTCCCTCCATAGCCCCCTACCAGATTTCATGCATTCTGTTATATACATTAAGTCCTATCAAGTCAAAAATATGGACGGCTTCATGATTTGTGTCATCCTTTCGCAGGGGCCATGCTAATCTCCATATCGTTCTATCGTTCTAATTTTAGTAGACGTGCTACTTTTAATACACTTATATAAAGTATAAGTGTATTGCCTGCATGTAAGTGAGTGTACCCGTGTTGTGCAATGCCGCAGAAGTCAGAAGAGGGCTTTGGATTCCCCTGGAACTGGAGTTAAGGACGGTTTGCAGCAGCCATGTGGGTGCTGGGAATCGAGCCCGTGTCCTCTGCAAGAGTAGTCAGTGCTCTTAACCGCTGAACCATCTCTCCAGCCCTTGTTTTTATTTTTGAGAAAAGATCTTACTATACAGCCCTGGCTGGCCTGGAATTCACAAAGATATGCCTGCTTCTGCCTCCAAGGGCTGGAATTAAAAGCATGCACCACCACACCCAACTTTATTGTATCTTTTGAGACAGTCTCACTATGTAGCTCAAGCTGGCCTCAAACTCCTGATTTTCCTGCCTCAGCCTCCAGAGTACTGGGATCAATGGTATGTACCACCACCCCAACCTGACATTTGCTCTTTAATTATTTATTTATTTGTTTATTTGTTTATTAGTGTATGAGTGTATGCCTACATGTGCATGTGTGGTAACCAAGGAGGTCACAAGAAGTTGTCAGATCCCCTGGAACTGGAGTTACGTGGTTGTTGGTTGTTAAGCTGCCATGTGTGTGCTGGGAACTGAACTTGGGCCCTCTGCAAAAGCAGCCAGTGCTTTTAACCACTGAGCCATCTCCCCAGCCCTGATACTTTTAATTCAAAAGAAAGATACCTTCACTGAGTTTTTGGCTCCCACCTGGATGCAGCTTACAAACAGTCCAAGAAGGTAGGGATTCAGGATGGACACATACCCACACAGGTATGCTGGCCTCCTCAAGCATCCTGCTATGTAAATGAGGAAACCGACCCTGAAGGAGCCCTAAGAGGTCTGACTCAAGATCAGTCAAAGGTACTGTGGCTATAGGACTAGTGGTGTATGCCTTTAATCTCAGCTTCTGGGAGGCTAAAGCGGGAAGATCCTGAGTTCGAATCCAGTCTAGGCTGCATAGTGAGCCCCTGCTTCAAGGTGGCATCTTCCCAAGGGAACTTAAAGGTACTGTGCAAAGTTCTTGGGGGCATTTACTCTACTTAAGACATCAGAATCCTAGCTTGCCTAGCACTTAGAAAGGCATGAGGCTGAGCTGCAGGAACCCTCACCCCCCACCCCCGGGAGGTGGAGGCTGGGTTGAAGCTCGCATGCAAGCCACCTGCCTGCCCGTGCCCTTTCCCTCGTCCAGGGTGCTTATCTCTTGCCGCCTCCCCAGCCTGCTGCGTGCCCAGGAACCTTTCCAAGAGCTTGGGCCAGGAACACCGCCCTGCGGAGTGTGGAGCGCCCTTCCTCCTGCGTTTAGCCGGTCTCCATCCCCACACCACGTTTAGCTAGCTGCTCCTCCACCCTGGATAGCGCCCTCCACCCTTGCCCGGAACCCTCAGCTGGTCTGATCCCTGTGGCGCCAGGCGGGTCTCAGCGGGCGATGGGAGCAGCTGCTAGGATGCTGGGTAGGAGGCTGGGGAGGCTGGGCCAGGGCTTCCCGCTGGGCCCTGGGCTATCTTCACTCCAGTTCTGGTTCCGCATTTCCAAGCAGTGACTTCGATGGGGAGACAGGCAGAGAGGACCCCCACCCCCACGAGCGCCTACATGCAGAGACAGAATCTGGAAGACTCCCTGGGGGAGTGGACCCCAGAATCTTGTCATTCCTAGTTTCCAACAGAGAGATTTTCTGCACCCGTCTATTCAAAAGTAGGAAAGGTGGACTTGGTGGTTTACGCTTTTAATCCAAGCACTCAAGAGCGAGAAGCTGGCGGATCTCTGTAAAATCCAGGCCAGCGTGGTCTAGATACCGAGTTCCAGGTCAGCTTGGGCTGCAGGGAGACCCTATCTCAAAAGACAAAAGGGGGATAAAAATATAAAAAAGCAAGAGGGTCTAAGGCAGCTTTGACCTACCACCTGGCCTTTGCCCTTCAGGCCACCCACACAGCTGCCTGCTTGGGGAGCTTCCCAAGAACAGCCTGACCTCTGCCTCTCAGAGGACATGGTCCTTCCTGTTCCACCCAGACCTTGTCAAGGATTTAAGGAAGGGCCTTCAGCGGT